TGGGGGCGTACGACGTCCGAGCTGAACCGGTCGCGGTCCATGCTGTGGAACAGGTCCTGCGGCGGGATGTACCCGCGTGGCAGGCCCGGCGGAACGGGGACAACCTGGCTGAAGGGGACCACGTTGAGGACCTGGTCCTGGTGCGCGAACTCGGGGAGACGGTCGATCTCAAAGATCTGGTCGATGGGAGGGAGAGAGACACCGGACGGGCCGCGTGGATAAGCCATGACGGGCGTGGAGGACGGGGGATGGACTTGGGTTGTCGGACGAAGGTGCTCGCTCGCGCGAGCTAAATACCAAAGCGGGAGGTGCTCACCTAAGCCGTTTATCCCTCCCCTAACTCCTAACCGATGTCGTCCCATGGTCCCGTAACGATTTGAGGTCGTGAGCGCGGAGTCATGTCGAGAATCGAGGGTACTGGTAGAGGTCGCAGGGAGAGAGAGAGCCAGCGCGCGTCGCGCCACAGCCACGGGCGCCTGCAGATCGAATCTGCGATCTCCTGGGCCCAGCCAGATCTTCTCCGATACGTCCGTTCCTCGATCGACTTGCACCGCTGTCTCGGTGCCGGCGTCTGCTGGCGACTTCTCTCTCGCGCGGTCGTCTTCGCTCTCAAACTCGTCCTCCTTCATCTCTTCTCGCTTTGCTCTGAATTCTGCTTGCTGGATACGGCTTGCGCGCTCATCTTGCGCCTCTTCGTCAACGTTCGCAGGCGTGTTCCTCGGCATAGGGGACACGTTATCAGTCCCTGGTCCCTCAATATCAAGCCGCCTCCTCTTCCTAGCTCGCTCATTAACCTCGGCGTCCATCTCTCCACTGCCCATACCGGATTGAGCTAGGCGGCCTTCTTTGTGGCCATCGAGATTGCGAATCCGACTTGCTAATGTCAAGTGGACCGCCGCGCGAATGTCGGGAGCGATGGGATTGGCGGAAGTTCGTTCTGGGGTATTGGCATCATGTAAGTCGTCCCATCTTCTGTCGAGCTGACTTATTGAACTGCGCTTGGCTTCGGAGAGCTTTGCGGGGCAGTCCGCGAAGCTGTGCGCTCCGCACCGGTGAGTCATTTGCTCCTTAGGCTCGAGGGTCGCTTGCTCGCGCGCGGACCGCACGAGGCCATACAGTTGTCGCGTCAGGAGGTTGGGATCGAACCACCCAACCTTAGTGTCTTCGTCAGGGCTCGCGGGTGCGTTCAATTGATCAGGTAAGTCGTCGTATAGTACGTCTCCTTTTTCTGACTCACGCGAGGCTTGCCACTGCTCGGCATAGGAGGTCAGCGCGGCGGGGCTGCCACAAGCAAGCACGGTGGACGGTTCCGCGTCCGTCGGGCCGGCTGGCACCTTCCCATCCTTTCCGAGCCATACCGCGGGCTCATACGACCATCCGGGATTAATGCCATCGGGCATTACGAGGATCTCGTGCTGAACTTCCATTTGGTTGTTCTTAAACAACAGGTATGTTCCGTCTTCGCGTTCGTCAATGCTCACGTAGTTACCGCGCTGCCAGGGTCGTCCGAGCAGCAAGTCAAACGGCACCTTGTCGCCGATGTATAGGTTCGCGTACGTCGGGATGCGACCGCACTTCAAGACGACATTCTCGACCAGTCCACGCAGGGCTCCCGCCCCTCCGTTCGCGTCATTCATCTGACACGATCGGGTGACGTCCATTGGGCGATTAAGGTGAGTCTTCCAGAGCGTTCGACTGGCGATGTTTAGCTGAGATCCGGTGTCGATGATCGCCGTCACGGGGCGTTCATCCACTTCTAGTCGCAGATAAATTAACGCGCCTTTCGATCGGGGGACAAACGCTGCCGCTACAACGTTCTTCGCGGCCGGCTTGGGCTTCAAGACCTCCTGAAGATTGTGAGTCAGGTCCTTCGAGACCCCAAATATCTCACCGACTGGCAAGGTCACCGGAGTGTTCAACACCTTGGCCAGAACCTGCCAGGGGTCGACCTGAGCTTGTACCTGATTCTGGCGCGGGATGCGCTTCACAGGTTCATGCTTAGTTGTCTTCTCCTTTTCGGTACGTGCAGTGGATTCGTTCTCTTTCTCCGGCGATCGTGCTGATGGCGCGTCTTCCATGATAGCGTCATCATCACTTGCATCGAACTGCCGGGCCGCTACGTCTATGGGCCTCGCGGTCTTCCATGCGAGTGAGGGCTCGCTACCCACGCGATCGTGCTGAGTCGGCTGCGTCGGCTGCATGACTCTGTCCCCCCGATGCACTGGGATCGGAGGAGCTTGCTCGCCGCGTAGTCGGGCGGAAGTTCGCGTTGCGTCGGGCGCGGGCTGTGATGCGGATGGTAGATGTGGAGGTACGTCACGTTTGTCTGGTCCACTACTAGCTGGTTTAGTCTTACCAATCTTCTCCTGTACAGTGACTGGTGGCACGATAGGATTCCTAGTTACACGTTCACGTGCGTCGCGTGTAGATTTAGCTGTACGCTCGGCTCCGAATGCGAAACCATCCTCTCCTTCATCCGTCTGAATGTTCTGTACCTGTACCGGCTCGTCCTCCGAATCATACTCTTCGATCGTAGCATGCGAGCAGTATGACTGCTTCGGCTCGGTCATAATGAAGTGAGAGCTCGGAGTCGATTGTCGCCGGATAGCTATGGTGAATGGTTCGTCCATGTTTCGGAAAATGCGCGACCCGTCTTTCATGACGAGCCGCCCGGACCCATCTCGTGCAATAGCACCTTGGGCAATGAGAGTGTTAATCTCTGGGCAAGTTCCGATACCATGTCCGCTTCCACCACATCCGTAACACTTCATCGGTGGCCTAGTAACACCTTGCGGCATACTTGGCTTATTATCGTTACCAGCTGTGCCAGCAATAGATTGGCTGGCCATACTCATGCTAGGTCGTCCAGGCGGTGTGAGGATCGATGCAACCAATGGGCTCATTGTGCAAGCCCGAAAATACAATATCTTGTATTCTGGGTCATTGATTGACATTCGATTCATCTGACGGATGAGATCCTCCACTTCACCATTCTTCTTTGCATCTTCTCGAGCTGCCTTTCGCTGTGCGGCTTGTACCTTCTTGCGGTCGGTAGAATCCTCTTCATCTGTGTCAGGATCCTTATGTGCAGGCTTCTTCTTAGTAAGCTTACGCTTCTTCTTAGAAGTAGTCTTCTTCTTGGATTCCTCTTCAGTGTCACTATCTGAGTTGCTGGAACTGTCAGTATCACTGTCATCTGAATCAGAATCTGAGTTAGAATCATCTTCGTCATCTGACGGGAGCCTATCACTGTCGAAGCGGTTGCGCTGGAGCAATGCTTCGGCCTTCTGGTTCACGTCGCTCATACTGAATGGCTTTGATAAGTCATAGGTTGGCTGGGATGCCAACAGTCGTGGCTCTAGAACTTGGCGGAAAGCACGAGGGATTCCTTTCCAGAAATAGAGAGCCTCATCATCAGATGAAATGCGACCCTTGTTCTTTAACCATCCTGAGATAGTTAGGAAGTCCCTTGTGTACTCTCGCCATGTTCCTAGACTCTTGATCATTGACTTCTTCCTGGCTTTCAATACATACGCTTCAAGGTGCTTCACCTTGTACCTTCGATCATCTCGGTCAGCATCAAAGTACTTGAGAACATCAGCCTTGAAAGTATCCCAATTCGCTACCGCGGCACGGTATGATGGTAGACTCTCAACGAAGTTCTGTACTCGACGGTTGCAATATTGAGGCAGATTCTCAATTTGCTCCTTTGCTGAGTCTATGCCAAGCTTGGCACAGATACGTTCATAGTGCTGGATAAAGAGTTTCACTTCAGTATACTTCCCTTTGAACTTCTTGGGAGCGCTCTTGCTCCCAGGCATGGGCAATGCTGGTACACCTGTTAAGTTCGCCATTGTCGCTGCAGTGCTGGTGATCGTGGGAATTGTGTGGTCTATAAGCAGTAATTGCCTATATGTTCCCCAATGGAGAGGGTTGATGAGTTGAGTACTGGCTGTGGCGATGAACTGTACTTAGTTAATGTTCACAGCAATGGTAACACTCAATAGGTTTTCCCCCTCGCGGTGGGCTCCACTGATATCAGGTCAGAATGTGTTTCTGCTGCGGTTCACCGGGTATGAGCAATACCGGGCTATCACAGTTGTTCGTTGTAGAGGGGGTTGGTTGAGTGTTGGTAGTACTGTAAAGTTTGTTAGCAAGTACAGTTGTTTTTACTTACCACAGCAATTGAATTGCCTTTACACACTATAACTTGGCTGATCTCGTTGAAGTGACGTGACGTGCTGAATGGATAGACTAACCACTAGCCTACCCACTAGACTGGAATACGTGGATACGAGTGACGTGCGTGACTGAGACGTGACTACAAGAGTTGCTGATTAAGGTAAACAGCTTACCGATCAAGAATCACTAGAGGCACTAACAGGGGCTTGAAGTCACACAATAGACTGTTAAGCTGAACTGTAGTATATTGCACACTAGGATGCCGCTTGTTAGCTTATGTTACTAACTTGCAGAGCAGCAGCTCACAAGATCTACACTGAGAATCTGGGAGAACTTGACTGCCTCATCCATGGAAAACTGGGGGCCTTATATACATGTGGGGAACAGCTTTACTCATACAGATTACACTACTTAGTCAGTCCTTACTCATCCTTAGTCATGAACACAGCTATGTACTTCAAAGCAACTCATGTGGTACAGCCTGTACTGCCATATGACATGGGTCAGCCAATCACAAGTCAGTATCTAGCACTGCCTTGTATCCTATTTGAAATACATCTGGAGGCTGTACTCTGAGACAACATGTGGATTGCCCAGCAGGCCCTAACCAGTCCGGGGGCTGTGCGTAGGCTGTGCGTGGCTGTGCTCATGCTGTACTCATGACTATGCCACCAGTCACACTGCAATCTCAAAGCCCACGTGACCTTCTAGACTAGTCTCACATGACCATGGCTATGCACTGCAGGGGGCTGTGCTGTGAATGAGTAGTCTGGTAACAGGTCATATCAATAGAAAGGAAATAGAGGTATATACCATGTTCCTTGAGCCAAACAATATTGGCTCAGGACATCGGTTGCTTTACAATGGAATAGGATATGCTCAATGGAATCTAGGGAGCCGCATTGGTGGCATGTTGCTCGATCCTCGTATCCTGGGATCTTGGCCCAGAAGCGTCCGCATCTCAGGGCCCCTTGCAGGACTTTCCATAGGAAGTCGGACGCCGGCTTGCGTATGTCTGTGCTACGGATGGCCAGCCAGAGCTGTTGGCTGGAGGGAGTGTCCGGTGAGTTTGCTCCGATGTGTGCAAGAGCTTCGGAAACTATTGCTTGGGACGTCTTGCGTACCGGGTGTTCGCGGGTCGCTCGTATTCCTCGGTACGCTAGGCGTTGTGTTAGACATGCAAGTCGTGCTCCCGTGAGGGAGAACGGGTGGTTTTGCTCGAGACTGATTTCATGGGTTATGTTCTGGGGTCGCGGTCGCTCCAGTTGGGCGTCCCAGGCGATGTTCATTCTCTCCCAGTCCGTTTTCTGGGACGCAACCGCCAGTGTGGTCACTGCACATCGTTGTCTGAGGTGGCTGACAATGACGCGTAGCAGTGTAGCGTCAGGGACGTCGATCCATCCGCGGTCCTCCCATCCTGCGAGGTCCATTACGAGGGCTGTTGCGAGGTATTTTGTCGTGCTGACGATGCGTAGGGGAACGTCGAGTGGGATGGTCATCACGGCTAGTGTCGTGGCGGCTAGTTCTCCTGTCCGATCTGTTCGGCCTTCCATGTCTGCGGGGGCAGTTGCTACCATTGTCCGCGATTCGAGCCCGGACAGGTGGACCCCCCCGCTTGCGGGGGTGTCGCGCTCGCGGAGCGAGCGATTCCCTTTGAGGGTATAGGCATCTGCCACGTAGGCGGAGGTGGTTTCGTCCTGTACGACCCGCCCTCTACGGATGCGTAGGGCGGGCGGCCGGTCATGGGTGTCGGGGTGCACGAAGACTCTAAAGGCTTCGGACAGATCACCGCGTTCGGTGATTGACGGGTCGAAGCACACTGGCTGCCCGGCTCCGTGGGCTTTAATGTTATCTATGCGGCGGGTCCGTGTGTGGGAGAGGCCATCTCCTGGAGTTGCGGTGTGTGGGTGCCATTTGGCGGCCACTTGTTCCAGTAGGTTCGCTGCCGCTGCTATGCATTTGTGCGGGTGTAGGCATCCCTGCGCCATGTCATCTATGCAGTCGTCACATATGCATTCTGAGGGGTTCGCATTGGGGTTGGGGGCGTCTCCTCGTGTGTGCTGGCGTCTTGTTAGACGTAGGAGGTCCACGACCCTTAGAATGCCGTGCGTCTCCCTCAGGCAGTCGCTTATACTGGTGTTGTTCAGGCGACGTAGTTTCTTCGATGCTCCCATATGGTACCAGATCGGGAGTTTGCCTTTTAGATTGCGGTCGAGCTTTATTGCAGCCAGACTAACGTTGTATTTCTTTCCGATTCGCAGCATGGTTGTTAGATATCTGGGAAGACCTGTTTTGCCATGTGTGGCAGGCTTCCACGTCTGGAGGAACGTGTTTATTTGTGCCGATGGTCGAATTTCGCCCGCGTCGGCAGTTACGTGGATGCTTAGGAGGACGTCCGCTGCATACGCCCAGGTCGGGCGATCTCCGTCGAGTTTGAGGTAGCCTCGTAGCCATGTTAGTTCTATCGCTTCATTCCGGGACTTTATATCCAGGAGGCCTATCCCGCCCTGATCTTTAGGCATGTACAGAATGTCCATATTTACCAAGCCGCGTCGGTCTTCGCCCCAGATAAAGGTGCGGATCATCTTGGTCAGTCGGTCTTCAATTGATCTTGGCATGCCTTGTACTTTCGCAAGGTATTGCGAGATGCCGCCAGGGCCCATTTGCACTATGTGGTGTTTGCCTTGTAGGGAGGGGCGGCAGCGCTGCCATCGGTCTAGGAAGGCTCGGATTTTCTCCATCGCGGGTGTCCATACCGCGGCTCCATCTACTCCGTTTCCTATCCACGCTCCGAGGATCCTCACTGCCTCTCCGTCTTGTGCGATGTGCACGTCATTCGGTATCACCGAGTCTAGGTTGTGTGGGTCAAGCGTTCGTGAGATCTGGATCGTTTCTCTGTACTCAGGTGAGCCGATCGGGATGACTTCCGTTTTCCCGTTATTGAACTTTGCTTGTGATGCAGAGCACCACGTGTTAAGTATATCCCACAGGTCCTTCCACGAGTCTCGGGCAGAGAGGTATGTAGAGGTGTCGTCTGCAAACAGGGTGGTGACTAGTCGGTCGGCGACGCCGGGGATATCAAATCCGTGCAGAGCAGAAGTTCGTAGTAGGCAGGCCAGTGGTTCGATGGCGAAATCGAAGAGAAGGCAAGACAGCGGGTCACCTTGTCGCACACCTCGGATTACGAGGTATGGTGAGCTTTTCTCTCCGTTAATGATCACTATCGTTGTTGCACCTCTGTACAGGTTTTGTATTCGTTGTATGAATTTCTCCGGGAACCCGAAGGTGCGCAGTACTTCCCACAGGTAATCATGGTCAATCTTGTCATAGGCTTTTTCTTGGTCTAGGGCGACTATGACTCCGTTTTCTTCGACTGCCTCAGCGTAGTCTACCATGACTCGTCCGAGTTGTGTTTGGTCTTCGATGTGGCGTCCAGGGATGAAGCCCGCTTGGTTGGGATGAATGAGGTGTGGCGCTATGTCGTTCAGGCGAGTGGCAATGATTTTCGTATAGAGTTTGTAGTCTGAGTTCAGTAGGGTGATCGGGCGATAGTTCGCTATGTTACGCCTGTCGCCTTTCTTGTAGATTGGGCACATCCAGCCATCTGTGAAGTGCAGGCCAGGGCATACGCCGTATGTGTCTATGTCACCAAAAGCCAGGGCTAGGAATTGAATACAGTCAAAAGCAGGGGGTGAGTCGTCCTTGCTATTTCTTTTGGCGTAGTCTTTCATTGCTGTCCAGAACTCGTAAGGGAGTCCGTCCAGGCCGGCGGCTTTGCCCGTTTGAGAGCTACGGAGGGCTTCGCTGACTTCTCTGGCCGTGGTGAGGTCGGTGAGTGCTCCTTTATGTTCGTCGAGCATTCTCGCTGATACCGCCTGCAGGACTTTGCGTGCCGCGCTTTGGCGTTCCGGGTTATTCACTGGGGTAGTTCCTACCTCCTGTAGGGCCTCGTGGTAGTCTCGCGCCAATTTGGCCATTTTGTCTGAGCGGGTGGCCATGGGTTCGGTCGCGTTGAGGGGGTTCTGTAGCGCGAAGAGGAGGTCTCTGGGCTTCCGCTCTTTATTGATACTGGACCAGTATTTGCTGATAGTCTCGCCATGCAGCGCGTAGTTCGCGGTGGTGGAGGCTTTGATCCCGGCGTGTCGCTTCCGTACCAGTTCGTGCAAACGGTCTTGTAGTATCCCTGTTTCCTGTTGTAGGTGGATGCTGTGTTCGAAGGTGGGGAGGTTCTGGGTGAGCGTGATTTGCTCATTCAGTTTCCTGATCGCGGCGTCCAACTTGGGGGCCCGTTTCTTCATGCGTTCTTGGGCTATATGTTTGACAGAGTCTTTGAAGGATTTTAGGGATAGTTGGGGGTTACAGTCTGCCCTACGCATTCGGCGTTCAGCGTGCGTCTCGGCCTCCTTTTGGAGGCGTTCGCCCAGTGTGCTTACTTCCTCAAGGAAGGTGGGGTCATGTAGCAGGTTCAGGGGCATTATCCACCGGCCTTTCCCAATCGTCGGTGCTGTGAGGGCGCTTATGGACGCTGTGACCAGTTTGTGGTCTGTGGGGATGCCAGTCGTCTTGATTGACCACGTTGAGGAGGCGTTCAGTAGTTCGTCAGTTACGTAGATCCTGTCGAGCCTGGACCGTGATGTGTGTCCCCGTTGGGGGAATGTGTACGCTTTACTTGTGGGCTCGGTCATTCGCCATCCGTCTCTGAGGTTATAGTTATCTATGAGTGTTTGTAGTGCTTCTACAGTGGTTGGTGGGTCGCTGTGGACTGGTACACGGTCGATGTTCTCTTCGACCATGTTGAAGTCGCCTAGCATTATATCCGGTTTCTTAAGGCGGAGGGACCGTATCTTAGACGAGAGGGTGGGCCAGAAGCTCGCGTTTTCATTTGTCGCATTCGGCGCGTATACGTTGAGCAGTGTAAGGAATCTATCCGCATGCCATCTTATCTTCATATGTAGCGCACGTCCTGGGATCACTTCGGTTGTCTCGACTTGCGCTGTGTCCACTATTTCTCTGTTGAGTACGAAGGCTACTCCTTTCGCATTGGTTGTTTCCGGATCAGCGGAGTTATATATTCTGAGACGTCTACCATACATGTCGTGGAGGTTGTCTACCCACTCATTTGACAGATGCGTCTCTTGGACAGCTAGGATGCCCAGTTTTTCGAGGCGCATGATCTGATTCACTGTGTTCCATTTGTTCGCGGCTGCACCGCTGGCTAGGGTGCCCCTTCCGCAGATGTTCTGGGATCCTACCGCCAGCGTGGCTCGGGTATTTCTTCCCTTTCGGTGCCTCGTTTCCTGTACTCGGCGGGGTGGTTCCATTTCTGGATGAGTCTGTGCGGCTTCTCCGCTTCGGGTATGGTGGCCCGTGTCGGTGCGGTCGGCACCGACCTGTGTTGAGCAGGCCTGCACGCTCGTATGAGTCGCTTGGCCGGCCTCGCTTCCGAACTCCGCGACACCATCCTGTGGGTTGGCACCAGCGAGGGGAGTGCCAGCCCATCTGGTGTTGGGAGGCATTGAACCGGTTGCCGTTTGAACGTCCGTGTTATTTGGTGTTATGTAGTGTGGAGCCGTTGCGTATCGGCGCACTCGCTACAACGATCCGCGAGGCGCAAGGCGTCGCTCCTGGACGCCGCAGGAAACATGCAATCGCAGCGACAGCTGGGCCGTCGTTGTTTGCTTAAGCCTCTCGGCTGGGCAAGTTTAGTTAGTGCCCATATCTGTGGGGAAAGTGAGGAGACACTTCGCGATGTCAGAGGCTTTCCTGTCCCGCGTACGGTCAGTGTATTTGGGCGCTCTGACGTCTCGCTTGGTCTGGGCGGGTTAGTCTAGTGGAGTAATAGGGGGTGAAGGAGATAGTGAAGAGAATAGAGAAAGTTTTTAGAGAGAGTTCAGAGGGTCGCAGGGTGTTCGGTCGAAGTATCGCGACGTCAAGATTGTGATGCATTCATGTTACGAGTCGTGGGGTACAGTTCAGCAGTATAGCTACTACGATCTACACGTTGTGTCCATTGTTACCACCACGTCCGCCTCTGCCACCGCGGCCAGCGTCTCCGTTACCACCGTTTCCGCAGCCGCGGCCGCGGCCGCGTCCGTTTCCGCGACCGCGCTGCGCATGGTTGTCCCTTGGACCGTTCCAGCCCTGGGCGTCCGGGTACGGGCACATACCGGTCGGGTGGTCGACGGAATGGCACAGGTTGCACCAGAGTCGGTCCAGGAAGAGCTCCGGTGCGCCAGCGAGAGCGTTGCCGTAGGGGTGGGTGCGCGCGATGTTGCGGAAAGTCAGCCAGTCGGCGGGATCATCCGTGGGCGGTTCGCAATAGATCGCTGCGATAGGTTCGAGGACGCCTCCCAGGCGCTGACGGAGCATGATACGGACGGAGATGGATTCGAGGAGCAGGAGGTAAGCTTCCTGCACGCTGAAGTTGCGCCAGCGTCCTCCGGCGAGTATGTCGTTCTGGATGATGCGCTGGATGCTGGTTGCCATGTCGAAGGTCTCGAAGCCGCCGCGGATGACGGTCGCAATGCCCTCCGGCGTGACGATGATGAAACGCTCGATGTTGCGGAAGATGGCGAAGAGTTGTGGCGCAGCGTTGCCCCAGCGTTCGGTGCCGATTGTAATCCTCGTCGTGGAGACGCATCGGGCAGCGATCAACTCCTCGATCTGCGTGTTGGTGAGACCGAAGACGATATGCCAGAACGGCTCGGCGTTAGCGCGGAAGTTCCCGGGCATGGGGAGTGCGGCGATCACCTCGATGTTCGGGGTAGCGTCAGGGATCCGAATTCGGATTGCGTCGCGGATATCTACGATGCGGGTCCAAGCTCCAGGGTCGCCGGCACCGTGCTCGAAGACTTGTACCAGGACAGCCGGGCGCGCATCGCGGCGCCAAGCCTCGATCTGCTCAGGCCTCATGCCACGGAGACGCCAGAAGGGGTCATCTCCTTGGACGACGTGCCAGCCGCCCGGAGGCGTGCGCGTCATTGCGTTCGTCGCGGCGGCAGGGCCAGGAGGAGGAGGAGGTTGGGCAACCTGGAGGAAAGGAGTGAGCGCAGCTGCGTGGCCGTTCGCAGGTGCCGCCGCAGGTGCGCGTGTGGGTGCGATGCGGGGCGGAGGCGCGACTTGGTTCGTGGCGGTGTACTCGTGCGGGAAAGGTGTATCTACTCGCTGCATGCCCTGAGAGATCCCTCGATACCTGCATCAGGAAAAACCGCCCGCAGGGCCGGAGCTCTTAGAATTGATTTGAAGATAGCCAAACCGGTTTGAAGCGACCAAACCGCTCAAACACGACTCAATACAAGTACCCCTGTTTAAAGGTGTCAGAAATTTATCAAACCAGTTGCAAGATTGCCTTGTTTGCTTGAATCAGGTTGTTGTTGTTTGGTCCTTACTATGAATACATCCATAGCAGCGCTCTCCACGGGGAACATTTGAGTTTGGTATGATTGAAATGTCTTCAGAGAATAGCAAAAATATGTTTAATGACTTTCTTGTTCTCTCTCATTTGATTCAAAGCACACGGTTTCAGGGCCGCTGTTCCCTCAGGGTTGTTATTCCTCAATTTATTTACCCGCCCGGATAACGCACATTCATGAATTAGCTGTCATAAATATATCGATTTCGTACATGGGCGTGATGGGCGACGGTACACAGCGGCAATCCTACACGACGGGTATGTGAATGCGGTGGACATGGATACAACATGAGGGGGCTGGATATCATTGGAGGGCAGCGGAGAGCGGTACAACAACAGGAACAATAACGCCAGCGGAGATGATACGCGTGAGGATGACGCCAGCAAAGACGATGCCAGCAAAGATGAGGAGAGAGGGGAAAGACAGTATCTTACAAGCAACCCTCCAACATCAGAGCCCTGTGGATAGCTCAGTCTTGCAACCTACTGATGAGATAACCCACGCACCTAGGCCTTATCCTTGGACGCAGCATTGGACGGCCCAGCCTGAGCGTTGTCGGGAGCACCACCCCTCGACCGCCACCTCGCCTTCACCTTCCCAGCGTTGATGAGAGGGTCTAGGTCCGCATTGGACTTCTCGTCGCCTTGCCCACTCTGCGAATCCACCCGAAGCCCAGCGAACACCCTGAACAATTGTTAGAAATGTAATCAAATAAAGTCAGCCGCCTACCTGATGTTCTTGGACAGACTGGCGTTCAGGGACTCCGAGAGGTTTTCCCAGCCCTCGTCATAGTCCTTGTTGTTCGGATTGGCCAACCGACGGATCATCTCCACGCCAGACAGCAGGCGATCGTACCTATTGAGTGTCAGAACTATCCTGTGAGATGACTGTAATATGTGGCCTACGCTGGGGCGTACACCTTCTCCTGGAATTCCACCGTGTTGTTGTCGTTCATCCACTCGTCCAAGGCCACGAGAATCTGACATTCGGATCGTCAAGCTTGTTAATGGCACATCAGTAGGCATAATTACTCACCGCACTGCACGCCAGGGCAATCATGTTGCTTGGGATGATCTTCAACGCACCGTCAAGGTCAAACCGTTCTTTGCACGCCGGGCGAAACACGTCCGGGTTCTGTCCGCGGAACCATTGGTTAGCGATGACCTCGGCCACGCACAGACCATGGAACGGCATGTCCAGGTCTGGCTCCTCCCACAGCTGAGTGGCGTCAGTTAGCAGCACACCGCGAGCTCAAGATCGAAGACTTACCGATGGTCAACCTCGGGATCCGGTAGCACAAGCTGCCCGTAGTGAAAGGTGTTGTTGTCTTTCAAGAACTTGATGCGATTCTCCCGGGCTTTCTTCACCTTCTGGTTGCGCTCGACAGCATCCACCGGTTTACCATCGTCCCCAACCTCGGGCAGCCTGATAGACAAGAACTCTTTCTCCACCACGCGCTTCGCCTTCTGCTTGAGCTCCTGCCGAAGCTGGGGTGCAGCCTTGTTCACCTGGAAAACGTGAATATGGTTAGTACTGAATGATGAGGGGAGCTAACACGTACGTATGCGATGATCTTGTTCTTTGTCTTCTGGAAGGCCCAATTGGGCTCGAACTTCTTCTGGAAGTCCTCCCTCTGGTACCTGACATTGCTCGTTATGAGCCGCTCAATGATGTCGGCAGTCGCCGCATGCTTCTCGGAGACGCCTTTCTTCATACGAGGCCAAGCATTCTCCAGAGCAAGGTACACCCTAAGCTCTTGTTGGGCTTTCCCCAGAAGGCTGCGGACGTCGACGTCCTCCATGAGCCTCTCATACGCGCCAGCGGTAGGCTCATTCTTGCCCGCCTCGGACTTCTTCGAGTCTGCCTTCTTCCGTGGTTGCCTCCTCTTCCTACCCTTCGACTCGGACTCTTCCTCCATCTTCACAACGATCTGACCAAGAAAGTTTCAGCCCACAGTTCAACTAGCGGAGATGGCTTACCTCGTTCGGAGCTTCCTCGTCTTTCGACAACAATTGGTCCGCGCTCTCATCCTCGTCCTCGCCATCCCCGTCGGAGCCCTTGTACGAAGAGCCTTCCCGTCCTGCGAGTCATCCACGTCCATCGGAGACGGCTCTCTCCTGCTGGAGTTGCCCTTTGCCACATGTTTGCCTGTAAACGGTCTCTGAATCTGTTGACCGTACGGAGGTACCTTCTCCGATATGTGTGGTACTCACCTTCATCCTTCGACGACCGTGTCTCCTTCCTTCTGGGAACCCCCTCCTTGTCACTGGTCTCCAGCTCATCCTCATCTTCGCTGCCAAGAACGATGGGAGCGGCTTTCTTCTTCGCCTTCGCAGTCCTCGAGCCTGAAAAATTGTTAGGCTATCCCGGTGCTGATGTATGCTCTCTCACCAAGGTGCGCAGCCAGATCATCCTCGTCCTTCGGAGCCTGCGTTCTCGGCGCAGAACTAATTGCGACCTCCACGATCTTACGTTTGTTACCTGTTGATAGCTCTTATGAATGTTTTCTTACCAGCGCATGCGCAATCCTGAAACTTATCTGACAAACTCACCCGCTGCTGTTGCCTGTTCCGCCGACTGATCCTGGCGTTGAGTCCTGGTCTTCTTCTTCTCCGGCTTCTCTGACCCAGATTCGCCATCGCTGTCCTCGTTGTCGGAGAAGAAGGGACATTTTTTCTCTTACGCGGCGTGGTAATGGGTGTGGACTTGCCCGGTGACCCTGGAGCAGCCTCAGACCATCCCTCGCCACACGAACTGATACGAACTGATTTTACTTACTTGGATTCTTCCCTTTGCTCTTCGACGGTATCACTAGCTCATCCTCGTCAGACCCCCAGCCTTCGACTCTTCCTCAGCAATGGCATCGTCATCGTCCCCCTCCTGTTCCATCATCGCCTTGCTCTTGGCTTGCACATCTGCATGTCTGTGTCCCATTGTGTACTGTGAGAAAGTAATGTAGGGGACGTACCATCCTGATGCTCCTTCTCCCCAGAGATCCCCTTTGATCCCTTGGCTAGGTCGACCGAGCCATTGCGTCCAGCTCTTGCGCTGTCAGGTTGGGCAATAGGGATCGCAGCGACTCCTTCATAGCCTTGAGCCGAGCTGCATAGCTCAGCACCGGTACAGCATCAGCTCCGGAATCTGCTTTGCTGGACGAAGACTTGGTTGCCACCCCGGCACCAGCAGACTTTCTCGCCGCCGGGGTCTTGGCCTTGCTCGCCACCGGGGTCTTGACCTTGTTCGCGGCTGCGGATGAGCGGGTGTTGCGGGACCCATGTTGTGAGATGATGAGCGTGAAAAGAGTGAGCGCAGACGATGAAATAGAGGTTGAATGTCTACCTTCAAAGTTTCGCCGATAACAGAAGACCTTGAGCTTCTAAAACGGAGATGCGGAGATGCGCGGAACTGAGGTCCGCACCCTCCGAAGGACCGACGAAGAGGTTATGGTCTCAAGCTATTCAAAGAGCTATGGGTAGAGGTAGAGCATGAGGGCAGCGTTCCACAACATAGTTAAGTTCAAGGTGACGTGGTTCTATTGCAGGGTAGGTAGTCAAGGTACATCCGAGGAACATAACGTACGTACAGGGCGCTAAGGCTACCGAAAATGTGCGTTGCCGGCCCAGCCGTTACGGCCTTCCTTTGTCCACCTGTCTATCTCTTTGTCCGTGTGCAGAACGATGGAGGCGCGACGCCCAGTAAAGTGGAGGTTAAAATGAGTAACGCGCGATGAAGGAAATGCGACGAAATCGCCATTTCGAAGAGGAAGGGCCAGGCCGGGCTCGTACAGACACAGCTCGCCTCCCTCAAACTCTCCACCGCCAAGACCACACAGAGTGATTTATCCTGCTTGTCTCTGTGAGCCAGAGTGGCCACATTCAGGTTGACGACGAGTGACAGGAAGGGATGGACCAGAGAACTGGCATTCCCCGGTAATACCTCCGCGTCCATGCGTAGGTCGTCATATTCCAAGCAAAGCGAGTCCTGAGCTGTATATATATTCAGCCACTCAGTTCAGTGGGTAGATAGAGAATACCTGCTCTGCCATCCATTCAAACAATTTTTGGAAGACGGATTGCAAATTTTGTAGATGTCTTTGTATTTACCGGTGTCTTGAGACGGGTAGGGAAGCATTTGGACCGTAGTTCGTTCGAGTGTTGTCGTCTTTCTCAATGAGTATGGGTGTGCGTCGACTGGACATCATGGCCCTGTGATAGCCTATCCTCAGCAGAGGTATACATACGACATTAGAACTTGAATGGAGGCACTGACCCTTGTCCGTGCGGTTATACCAGGCGAAATGAAGAGCGGGAAGCTGAAACTCTTCCTCCGATGAGAGCACGTTTCTTTGAGATTCTCCCCTGGTCTTCAAACAAGCGACCAAGTTTACATGAGCATCTCGCGGATCTCTTGCGGCATGTTGTGAACAGGCATGCACGAGAGATCCCTACTGTCCTCGATTCGAATGGGACCCTTTCAAAGGTGAGGTACACAGAGTTAACAGTTGGAATACTCACGGTGCCAGGCAGGCTATGGCAACATATTCCTTGACTTTCCGTCCATGTGCCTTCTGGAGCATGGGAGACAGCTACAGATAGTTGCAACGTGAGAATGAGCTACACGGTTGATGATCAATGAAGGGAACATACCAGGGCTGCAATGCCCGGCGTTTCGGGTTTCAGCGCTGCTGCAGCCAGCAATCGCTGAGTCTCCGTCCAAGGAAGGCTTCTTCAGGTGATTGGGCACCGGGTACGCACGATGCCATCGAGGCTGAGATTGACGTCCTCATTACGATGCATTGCCGGTATTTGTGATTCGTCATCTCAACATCGGGCTGTTCGCGGGATTTCGTCCTCATCTTCGTACACATCGGACAAGGAGAGGGGGGTCAATCGCGCCTCAACGTAGCCATTCGCGGAAGAGATTTTGACTGGCCCGGGTGAGCGGAACCGCATCGCTGGGGGATCGGATTGGGAAGAGGCAAGCCGCCCATATTTCCAGGTTCTATCCACGGAAGTAAAGTTACTAGCAACCACTATAATCAGCATAGCCGTTCAAACGTCTGTGGAACTCACTTGAGTATAAGGAGCCGAACAATTTATCGGAGTGCTCGAGATTGGAGCAATCAAGCGTGTCCAATGCCACGCCAAGTTCTAGCAGCATGGGAGGAGAGTACAGTGCGTCGAATTGCAGAGGTAGCTGCCTCGCACGCTCTATAGCCGGGATGATACGCTGAATGACTATATACCTGCCGTAGTATCTGCAGACTATGTGACGGTGAGCTGCGCCGGAGTGGAAGTTAGTACTTACTTGGGTCGGGATCACGTAGAACGTTGCGACCGTCAAGCAAAGAGACCAACTGATTGTATGAGTCTTTACGCTGATCGGCTAGAATAACCAGCAGGACAGCGTAGATAGATCCTGCCAGAGAGGGCGCATGAGCCATATTACTTGTCGCTGTAATGTACAGCAACCTACCCCCTGATGCGATTGCCGAGAATCTGCTTCCAATCTCGTTCCAGTACAAAATGTTCGTGCGCTCGGCGAAAGGGGACCCTGATATGCTTCTCATACACCTGGGTACGCTCAGGTGTTGCGCGTCTTATGCTGTCCAAGCACTTCAGATTAATAGACGGAACAACAAATATGTTTCACTGACTTGAGGTTTTGCAGACCAACTGCATGTAATGCACATGAGAGGAAACTGACACATTTGTCGGCAGTTGTAATTCGTGAACATCTTTGAACAATCGATTCCAGAGTGTTGTCGAGGAATCCGCTCCCATCGTCTCCTTGTTCTAGCAGCACCCGTACGGACGAGAGCTGAGAGCGGCTGCGTCTGAGGCCTAAGTCGATGGATGCAGAGAGGCGGGCAAAGAATGCTCCGATGGCTGGCGTCGACTGGTTGAACGGGTCTCGACGCTCACCCATTTCTTGACTGAGGAGCCGCTCTTACAGTGCGTGGAGGAGACTCTCTGTCTGCTCTTCTCCCAGGTTTGGGGGTTGCTTGTCAGCTTTGCCGGTCTGAGGACCCGGTGATGCGTCGACTTCTTGGAGTTCTGGCAGCGTTTGAACGACGCAGACGGGTTCTTCCTGCCATTTGAGTTCGGATTCTGCAAATGTTGTCAGATTACTGCGTACAGCACAAGAGACAATGCTCACCGTGGTATCTCCTCCCCATCGCCCTTCAAGGCATCGCTGATCAATTGAAGTCTATCCGCACGGCAGGCAGAGCGAGTGGAAATCTTCGTACTCGTCAAGAGCAATTGAAGGCCTGACTCTCTTCTTCGAGAGCTCAGGACGTGCTGTGGTGGGAGCATGACGGGGACGTAGGTTTAGGCGCCGATTTTCCGAGGCAGTAGGAGTTGGAACGTTTGGGTACATTAAAGCAATATTTCATGCTACAAATACTACACTACATCTAACTTATCCAAACCACTGTTTGAGTCGAGCTTGAGCGACGAGAGAGAGAAGTACACCATGCTTTTCGACCATTCCGCGGAAGCCGTTGCAGGGCGTCGCTCCCAGCCTGTTGTACAATGGGCTGCCTTGGAACCGCCTCGATGTCCGATCAGATCATCTCGTTTCAACGCCGCGAAATCGTTGACTCGCCCAGTAGGCGTTGATTCGACGTCTTCAGAGGCGCTGAGGTCGGTCTTGTAGGTCGATCGAGGTCGTCGAGGTCGTCGAGGTCGTCGATGGAGTTGAAGGCTCTCCCGGACAGATTGGTTATGTATACCTTGCCGCGGCCAGGTAACCTTTGAGACGTTGTAGAAAAACGCTCTGGCCTTGCAGAGCTTTTTCAAAGTCGAGGCTTCGCCGTTTGGGCGTGATGGGCTACTAACGTCAGTTCAGCTCAGTCTAGAACGAGGTGCACTCACCATGGCCCAAAGTATGCCTTGAGTTCCCTGGCTGTCCACTTCTCGCATCCGGGGGAGGGCTTGCGTAGCCGGTAGGACGGATGGGACGAAGAGGCGTACCCGTGAGGCTCCACAATCGATGGCGTTGAACTGATGCGGGGCGTGGTATGGCTCCTGTACCTTCCTCAACGCCTGAACTCCTCGTTCCTATGCAGATTCCATGTCGTGCGCGCTGCCAGTCCCTTCAGTCCCAGAAGCCCCAGTACCCCAGGTGAGGGGTCCCTTTTCCCGTCCGCCGCTTTCCACTGCCTCAGCACTCAGGCTCAGGCTTCGTCATTTGGCCCCTCGTGCAGCGAAGAAGATGGTCCCGAGGACGGCATGGCGCCAACGTGCATTCATCTACCAACTGCCAACAATTAGTGGCAGGTGATCATTAATGGCACTCACCTTGCTGACTCCATGGCGCATGTCTCCGAGGAGTGAACCTCCACATAGAGGCCCTTGGCGGGGTGTAGGCCCACCATTATTCTGACCACCAGTCGGCCGGAAACCCCAACGGAGAGCTCATCGTTGGTGTTGGGCTCCGTCATGCCCGCCAGAGATGCACATCCTGGGAGCACAGATCAATGAATCTGTGAGCGAGGTGCTGGACAGCCGATGTGAACATCGCCTACCGCCATCGCGGGGTGAAGGAGAGGCGGACAATCCGCCCAGCGCTGCAGGCGCTGCACGCAGGCAGTCCGCATGTCCTTCTCTTCTCACAGAGAAGGGACTTCGGACTTAACGCGGGACTCAGCGTCCCAGTCGGCGCTCTTGGGGTGGCTTCTCTGGCCAGAGGTAAAGTGGACATGGTATCATATCATCATTGGTGTTCCCAGTGCTATACATACTACGCTATGACGTCGTACCTGTACAGCCCTCAGCTTGTAAGGACTCGCGCCCAAGCCGGTAATCCTGCGCTTGCCCGCCCTGACTGACACGATCCCCTCCAAACCTGGAACACGACCTGTTGCAGGTCGCTCGCAAGGGATTGTGGAAGGGTCTGAGAGCATAGGCGTGGTACTCCTCATCCGTACGGTATGCTTTGGATAGGGAGCTGGGCGAGGCGGTCGTTCGGCTCAGCGGCATAGCCGTCGACGATTGAGCGGACACATTGGCGAATATCGCCATCGATCCGGGGAAGACACTGGTCCTTGGCATGGACGTCAACCACTGCCAAGTGATCGTATTTCTATTTAGTGAGAGACCGCATCTGAAGGCTTACCATGAACTCGCTGTTGACCAGTCCGTCACAGAGGTGGCGGACTCGCTTGCTCCACGAAAGCCGGAAACAGCTCACGTTGTAGTATGCCGGCAACATACCATCTGGGGCGGAGGGCCTTTGGGATAACGAAATTCAGGTTGCTGGCCTTGTTGATGGTGTTGAGATGGAGTATAGCAGGCGTAGGGCGTTGGGAAGTACAGCTTCTCAGGGTGGTGATCTCGTCCACCTCGGCGACAAGGGCAACAAGAATCCTGCAGCCGCAGAGGGCGTTAGACTCACGACGGACGCCAGCTATTTATGCTTTGAGACAAAACCAAATAGTGCAAATGTACGGGACGTACCTTCTTGGTTTCATACAAGAACTCTTCGGAGCTCTGAGCAACTACAAGAAGAAGGGCGTTGAGCGCGTGTCGGGGTTCCTTGACACAGCGTTGTACCTGAAGCGAAGTGCACGTCCGGGCTTTCACAACCATGTCGGACGGTATGGTCAACGTAGATGAATGGGGTTAATCGCTCTCTTTGAACGCGTTGCCGAAGCGCTTGTCATAGAGTACGCCATGTCCTCTTGGAAGTCGGCGCAATGACGACCGCTTTACCCTGCTTAGGCCAGAAGTCGATCCTAGAGATATCAGGACTCATCTCATATTCACATTACGTATCGGCTGCTCACCTCATACATCGTATGAACAGCAACCAACGCCGGTACTCTCCCTCGCCCAACTCCCACTCCCACGTAGCATCCACCTTCTTCTGCATGAGTCTCATACAGCTGCTCATTCATACGTCTGTGAGTCCTGACAATGATGTACATGACGGCCGCATCATAGCCTACTAGTAACGTTACCTTCGTCACCCAGCCTTCGCAACCGGCATTCTGCCACTCCAGCTGAAGGTTCCGAATCTGAGTGAAGTATTTGGGAAAGCCGGTATTCGTCTCCTTCGCAAAGGTCTGGGCTCCTGATGAGTTTGAGAAATTGAGGCATATGTCGGGGAAGTGGGACCAGAGGAGGGAAGATCGCCAGGGAGCGCCGGGGTGTCTCTCGCGAGATATAGATTTTGGAGAGTCACGGCATACCCTTGGTCCTCGTCCAAAGAGCGGCTGGGCGAGTAGAGGGCCACCTCGACGGGATGTGAAGATCGACGGTGTGCCAGGCTCAGTGTAGTCTGAGTCGGAACCAGGTATACTGCCCAGAGCCGTAGTCGTCTGAGCTGGGCGGACCCTGTCAGAATACTTTCCAGGCTGATCGTCCCTGGATAGAGTGTTTGGGTCGCACTAGTCGACAAGGCTGCGTCGATGGAGAGAAGGGGCGAGTGCATGGACACTTGGAAAACAGATGCAATCCATGTTGTCGGCGCTCCACCGACTTAAGCCTTTGCACTACCTTCTCTCACTGGGCTGCGAACTCACTGCGGCACATAGTGTCAAATAGCCAAATGAAGATTTACTTACCTCGTGTCTGAACATTTGAGGGTACCTACTCACCCAGTATGTCCAGGGAGGAAAAGGATGTTGCACGCATTGCGACACCATATAAGGAAATTCTGACACCACTCAATCTTGCAGGCTAAAAGCATTACGCCTGGTGAGTCAACTCTGGTGGTGAGGCCTCTGAAAGGAAATAGTATGACGCACTGTTCCGGTCGATATGTTCATGGTTAGTAATAAGACGGCATACCTGCTCGAGATGGAGGGCAGCTGTACTTATACCGTGCTTGTCTGACCATCATGTAGGTGCAGTACAGGAATTGAAGGATGTATCAATTTGCTTGACGTGAGTTAGCGCTAATTAGGCGATTGGCAGAGACAGGAGTAAGTGTCCAGGCGGGCGTCCGCGTCGTGGGAATGAATGGGATCGTTAGGCGAGGCGAGATGCTGCTCACGCTCTGATTAAAGCGCTCTCTAGCTCGACTCGACAACTCATCAACTTGAACTGGTTTGCCGTTAGGTGAAGAATTTCTAGTAGCAGCCCAGAATCTCACCAATCCACAGCCAAATGAAATCATGCTGACATAGGCGAGCTCCCTTCGTCCTCTCAGCGACCCGGAGAACGGACATGTCCGCCTGCGACCATGAATTTGATACATCGCAGGGACTCATGGCTCACCTGTCGACAGCGAAGTCTTGCCTGTGGTATAGGAAGGGCAAGAATAAGGATCCTTGGTCCAACTTCCTGAGTTGGAGGAGCACGTCGTTGACGAAGAGGCACAGTCTCCTGAAGACATGGACGTCGACCCCAGGAGATTCTGGGATGCTTTGAGAACAGGACCTATTTAGGTTTGTTCCCAGACTCGCGGTAACAAACCTGCACACAGAATGAGAACGAGGCTTCGTCCTCTATCGCCCAGCTGTTCCGCCGATCCGGAGCGTTCAATTCCAGCATTGGACGACGATGAGGACGACAGGGTGAAGAAGAGGACCCTTGCGGGAAGGTCATCCAATGGACGCCACATTGTACAGACATGGAAAGCTTTCTTCGCGGACGATCCGGATGACGACGCAGAGGACGTGGACCAAATGGAGGTGGATGCGAGGATGGAAGGCAGAGAGGGAGGGATAGGATGAGGTATGGAAGCCTTTTGCCTCGGAGCTGGACTGGAGGGTGGGCATGTGGATTGTTCGGGAGGACGTAGGTCAGAAGCATCAATAGATTTCTTTCAATTCCTGGAGTAAGTCTCCCCGCGTCGTATGGGTGTTCTAAATCTGAAAGTCGTATTTAGGTTGTAGAAAAGCTCGGACTGACCTTCAAGGACATCCGGGAGCTTTTTCTGAAGGTAGACGAATCCCGGAGAGAGCGTCGTGGAAGACGGCGTCATTGAGCTTTCCAGATCGACCGGACGATATACACCTTGTACGCTACCGCGACATCTTAGAGGCTATCAAGGCCCTCCTGGTAATCCTACTACGCCAAACATATGTATACCGCCAAGACGACGTGTTCTCCGATCGTTCAAAGCAGAAGAGAATCTACACTGAGATGTGGACGGGGCTGTGGTGGAACTCAGTGCAGGCACGTATGATCAAACAGGTCAATGGTTATGGAAGAGCTACTGACCCACACGTTGTGTTGCAGAAACTACTACCTGAGGAGCGGCCCTCGCCCCTGTGATTATCTCTACGGACAAGACCCAGCTTACGCAGTTCTCGGGAAACAAGACCGCATATCCCGTTTATCTTACCTTGGTACATCCCACGTTCTATTCGCCGCAAACCATCACAACACGCATGTATCTTGCTCGGATACCTCCCTGTCTCCAAGGTAGTTGGGGAAAGATGACCAAGAGGGAACGCAAGGCGAGGTCGCAGAGGCTCTTCCATGAGGCTATGAGTATCATTCTCAAGCCTCTGGTCCGCGCAGGCGTGGATGGGATTGAAGTCACCGGAGGGACGGTGCTGTACGGCGCGTTTATCCCATCCTAGCGGCCTATGTTGCGGACTACCCTGAGCAATGTCTTGTGGCATGCTCCAAGTACGGAACCTGTCCCAAGTGCCAGTGTCCGGCCGACAAACTCGGGAACCTGTTGCGGCTGAGCCTCGCACGTCTGAAATGACGGAGAGTATCATCCTGGAGGCCTCCACCAAGGGCTCAGCGACGCAGCCTGCGAAGCCCTGTGTATGCAACAGAACGTCGCGGGTGGGGTGAAGAAGCCGTTTTGGGCAGACTTGCCCTACACCGATATCCACCTCTCCATCACACCGGACGTCCTCCATCAACTGTACCAAGGCGTCTTCAAACATCTAGTTACCTGGTGCCAAGATCTACTCGGTCCGAAGGAACTGACAGGCGAATCCGCTCTATGCCGCCGGCGTTCGGGTTCGACACTTCAAGCATGGGATCTCTTCACTGTCACAAATAACGGGCACCGAACGCAAGGGTATGGCTCGTATTCTCCTCGGTTGTCTCATTGGCAAAATCCCTAAGTCCCTCCTCATCTGCTTCCGCTCTCTACTCGACTTCATCTACCTCGCCCAGTACCCAACTCACGATGACGACACTCTAGGGTATTGAGCGATGCCCTCAAGATGTTTCACGAACACAAGAACATCTTGGTGAAATTAGGGATTCGCGAGCATCTCAATATCCCCAAGTTTCACTCCCTACTCCACTACGTCGACTCTATCCGCCTCTTCGGAACAACAGACAATTATAATACTGAGATGTTCGAGCGTCTTCATATCGACCTTGCCAAGGACGCCTGGCGGGCATCGAACCACCGGGACGAATTCCCGCAGATGACGAGGTGGATATCGAGACGAGAGAAGATGATGCTATACGAGGTCTTTCAAAACGAGCGTCAGGCCACTGAGGAGCTGGAGGACGATGAGGCGGATAGGGAAAGCCGTGTCGACGAGTTGGAAGAGCGTGAAGCCTGTCCAGAAGACGTCTCGGATGCCTACCGTAGCATCCAAATCGCCAATACGCGCCTGCGCCTCAGCAGCACCTTGTTCGCATCCAGGAGCTCCATGGCGCTCCGGGTTTACCACCGCACTCGCACACTTCGTAAACGACCTTCAGCCCCGGGAGCTGCGACTGACTCGGCAAGAACTAAGTCAGACGTTCTACCTTTCACTCGCCTCGACGTCTTCCATCAATTCAAGTTCAAGCCGTGCGCTCTGTCTGACGACAAGAGCGAGGCAGACCTAGTCAAGGCAATTCCTGGCTCAGCTAGAAAAGGGAGAAAGAGCAGATTTGACACCGCCATTGTTCTGGAGAACGAGGAGGCAGAATCCACCGGGGTGAGAGGTAAGCAATGGCGACGTTCAACCACAGTTATCCGATGACCTTCGGGACACAGGTACAAGAGCGGGGAGAGTTAAGGTTATCTTCAAGCTCCCAAAGATACTTCCTGATCGGCCAGGGGCCCCACCATCCCCGCCATGGTGGCCGGATGGGCCCCTGGCCTACGTGGAATGGTATACTAGGTTTACTACTGCAGCGGATGCAAGACACCTCATGTATTCGGTGAGCAAGCCACCCCTACGAACGGACGGGTTGCCCCAGGGGAGGATAGTACCTATTTCACAAATACGACAGTCCTGCCAACTTATACCGTTGTTCCCGGATGGCCCAAGCGGCACCGTTCCGGAAGAGTGGACTTCACAGAATACTCTTGACGAGGCAAAGCAGTTTTATCTAAACAACTGGACAGGAATGTATGCCTATCAAACACTATGGTAGCAATACATATACTATCTTGCTCTGTCCGCGTTCCAACTGAATAAATTGAGAGCCTTTTGTCTGGTCATTACTTGAGCGCTTGCGGCTTGCAGTCGCCAGTTCAGCGTGATTGCGCGCGGAAGACGACTTGCTTCAAACCTCTTTACAGCTGACTTAGACTCCGTCTACATGGCTTGCTTCGACCAACGCGTTCTTCAGCTCCTATGGCCGGCTCTACCACAATTCGGAATTGCTGCGCATGCGTCACGAGTATGTTCCGAGCGGCGGGAGACCCGCCACGTCACGGTGGTTTGTTTGGAGGATTCAGAAGAGAACTTTGGGAGGCTTTTCGACTACGTGAGCATCCCTCAGTTCTATCCTTACTCATACAATTTCATTGACCATTCATTGGGACAGTGCACTATCTACAACACATCTATGTGTCCGGCTAAACCCAGCAAGGAGCAGGGCCCTCGGGAGCTGCTGGAGGAGCTACTCGCCCTGGTACGCGCACTGGAACCTCCTCCAAAGTTGGGAGGGTGGATACTGCTGGGCTCCATTTTGGAGAGCCACCGGGGCGTGGATGTGCCCCCTTACTTCCGGGGACAGGGGCGGAACGTTGCGCTGGAAACGTTCATATTCTTCGAGGTGAGTACTCGGGCTTCTGAACAACTCGCCATTATACTTATACCAGGAGCTGCCTACCAGGAGGCCCACATCCCCATGTGCCTTCCTCTTGTATGGCAGATCCGCGACGACACGCAGGAAATCGAGATCTCCTTCGACCAGCCGCTAACGGCTCAAATTTTCCCCTCCCTCAATAGATGGAGGGGCATTCCGCGCGGGGGAAGAATACAATTCGATTTTTTCAACGTCAAGACGCAGACGTTCGTCCCCGTCATCCGTCACCCGCTCGACGTGCCGTTCCGTCTTCCCCTTCCCCTCGAGTTTGTACCCGTATTCAAAATCAGCTCCGTCACGACCGCCGCATTCGCCGAGAAGTACTCGCGCGGCACAAAGCCGCTCAAGCCCATGTGCTCCATGAAGGCCAGCTTCATGGAGCTGAAGTTCAAATGGCCGCGAGGACTTCCTCATCCGCGCGAGTACGTCACGACCGCATGGCGCGTGGGGATAGAGCCGTGGTACGGCGAGGTAGCGAAGTGCGCACGCTTTGGCGAGCCCGGCTACTCAGTCGCTGCGTTCATATCCGAGGATTGGCCCGCTGCTGAGGATGGCGGGGTGCCCAAGGGTAGCGCAGGCGGCGACAACGCGCCGGACGAAGACATCGGCATCAGGAACCGCGCGGTCCAGGAGATTGAAATTTGGGAGGTCACTGCGGACGGCAGAGAGATTCCGTACGTTGAAGCTGGGACTGTGGAGGCTGGAGAACGGGGCGTGCATGGTGCGGTGTTGTACCATTAGCTGAGCTATGATTTCTTACTCCTACGTCTCCAGATTGTACTTAGATTCCGTCGAGAGAAGTTCGTACTGTTCACGCCATTTACAATGTTCCGTCTAGATTCTATCAATTTGTGTGAGCTAATACGATACCGTCTTGCGAACCCAGGCGCTTCCCCATTATTGCGGAGCGCCCGTGCGAACTGGAAGCCAGCTCTCAGCGCCTAAGGGCGAAAGTCGCGTCAAACACATTCCTGCGATCCTCAACCGCGTTCAACCACTAAAAACTGATCTCTGCACATCTCACTATGCCTACCTCCGTCGACAATCGTCTGCTCAACATCGTGAAGGAGACTCTGGGCGTAACGGTACAACAAGTGTCGCAGTTCACGCGACGCTGCAAGCTCGGCCTCAAGATCGACCATGTCGCCGTCGTCTGCCTCGAGAGGGAGGGTCTGGGGGTGATTTTTGAATATGTGAGTAGTCTCCCCCGTGTAACGCCTTCTCTGATACGCTCTTTTCAGTGTCTTATGCACAACGGCTTCGGTTGCGCCGTGGGGAGGTGCCGCGTCCAGGCCGAGCAAGCAAACCTCGATCGCATGCGAGAACGCGCTGACCTCCTCCGCGACCCGCCTGTGAAGTTCGGCGGGTGGGTATTGATGGGGGCCGTTCCGGAGCTGTACGCACCTGGACCGGAGTCCGCGCAGCTGCGCCAGTTGCTGGAGCAGAGGCCGGGCTCAGGCGTACTAAGGCGCGGGCGTACGGTTCTGGTAGAAACGTTATTCTTTGTGACGGTGCGTAAGAGCCTCTTCTAAGCGTGTAACTGACTACTGATATATCTATTTGAACGGCCTACAGGACGCCGAAGATCCGGTCCCCATCCCCCTCATCGGGGTGATAGACTCCACGGGGATGGAGCTCGAGATCCCCGGGCCCGCCGTGCAGCCTGTGCTAGCGCAGGCGATTCCGCTTCTCAACCGCTACAAGGGCGTACGAGCGACCCGCAAGCCATGGCCCGTCTTCGACCTCTACAACCCGGCCTGGCAGACGTTCGTACCTTCGAAAATGAGCCCTACCTTCCCCGTTCGATTGCAACTCCCCCTACGCGACATCCCCGTGTTCAGGGACGCCACGGTCGAGCAAACGGAGCACGTCCTCGACTACGCGAGGGGCCGGCGCGCCATCGACCCCATGTGCTCGTTGAAGTACGGCTTCATCGGGCTGGACTTTATCTGGCCTGTGGGCCTCCAGGAGCCGCGCACATACATGGAAGCCGCGTGGAACGTGTTCCCCTGGCCGTATCCGTTGGTCACCGTAGCTGTGCGACCACGGCTCGGCGAACCTGGCTGCGTGGTGAAACTGGCGGTGGAGCCAAGGGAGGAGCGTGCGGCTAGCGAGGAGAAGGACGAGGAGGGCGTGGACCTCGGCGTAGACGACGATTCTGAAGGGGAGGAACGGCTGTGGGAGCTGGATTCAGACGGGTACTAGTACTAAGGCTGACTTCGTTGCGAATTTCATACGGTTGTGATTACTTGTAGCGCGTAAAATTGTATTCTACTCATGTATCTCTCTACGTGTAACCGGAGAAATGCTTCGGTTTGCTATCTATGTACGCCAGCACGACTTGTAGAAGGGTCTCTGCTGTTGAGCGAGCCATGGAACCTGATCAGCCGCAGCGCGCGGCGGTGGGCGCTTATGATCATCTTCCGTCCAAACGTCTTGCGTCGACCTTCAGATCTGTCAAACCAACACCCATCTCCTTCCAATCTTCTTGCACCGCTATGTCTACCGCATCCCGCATCGACGACCGGCTCGTCAACATCATCGCTCAGACCGGACTACCTACTTTTGAAGACGCTTGCATGCATTCCCGATCTTGCAAGATATGTCGGGTGATCGACCATGTCACGGTTGTCTGCCTCGAGAGGGAGCGCTTTGGGTGGTTATTTGACTACGTGAGTGCTACGCCCGCAGTCTCATGATGTGCTACTGATGCTTGTCTCCAACGCGTTCGTCACTCAGTGTCCGATGTTCGACTTGACTGGGTGCCGCATGAAGCCCAGCAAAATCCAGGCGAGCGAGGAAGACCTAGGCTCAATGATGGAATACGCGTACAAGTTGGGTAGCCCTCCCAGGTTTGGCGGGTGGGTTCTTATGGGCGCGATCTACGACTTCTACGGCGTCATGTGTCCGCGGCCTCTGATAGATATGTGGCCGGAGAGTACCGCATCGGCGCAAGGGAGGACGGCGCTGGTTGAGGCAATGGTTTACGTTCAGGTACGTGGTAACCCTCACTGATGTTGGCGCGCTCACTGAACACCGTGTACAGAACGGCTATACGCCTGTCTCTGTTCCGCTCATCGGCGAGGTCAACGCGACGGGCTCGGAGATCGTGATACCGGGACCGTCTGAGCAACCGATGCTCGCTCAAATGTTCCCGAAGCTGAACGCATTCAAGCCACGGGAGTTCCCAACGTACGCTGAGATGCTCGAGCCACGAGTAACGACCTTCGACCGTTACAACGCGTCGACGCAGACGTTTGAGCCGTCGCGTCTGCACCAGACGTTTCCGATCCGCCTCCCCCTCCCCCTGGACAACATCCTCGTCCTCAAAGATTCGACGGTGCGGCTTACGCTGTATTCCCAGAACTACGCCACGGGGGAACAGCCCGTTCATCCGATGTGCTCGATGAAGTATAACTTCATCGAGCTGAATTGGATCTGGCCTGTAGGCCTGGGGAAGCGTCGCGAGATCATGGAGGCTAAATGGGCCGTGGTGACGAGAGAGGCTCCGATGGGCATAGGGGCAGAGCGGGCGCGAGTGGGGGAAGTGGGCTGTGTTGTGAGGACGGCGGCGGAAGGGAGGGAGGGCCGCTTCAGCATAGATAGAGCGTAGATTTGTGCGATGACGACTGGAAGTAGTGGACAGTTCTGAATGTATATTACGGTGTATTACTTGCTATTGATGCCAGGCTTCTCATATTTTACGATTTCTGAGGACCCATGAGCTTAACAATCTCCTATGAGTGGCCGGCGATATCGGCGCTTAAGGGTAGGCGTTCGCTCATAGGCCTTTACGCCACTCTCAGACATCTCTCAACTCAACCTCCATCACGCTATGTCCACCCCCATTCCTGTTGACCGAAACCTCATCGCCATACTCGGTGAGCATGGACCTGGATTCGAGTTAGCCTGTACACGGTCGCAAGACTGCAAGGTGTGCCCCGCCATTGACCACGTCACTGTGGTGTGCTTGGAGGAACAACACTTTGGCTTGCTCTTCGACTATGTGAGTACCAGTTCAAACTACTCATCAACACAACTTCCGTCTGACGTGATGATGTTTCAGTGCTTATTGTCCGACATCTCTCGTTGCCCCATGAAACCCAGTCGCGTCCAGTCGTCCGAAAAGGAGAGAGCTTTCATGCTCGAGCGCGCGAAGGCACTCAAAGGCGGTCCGAGGTTCGGAGGATGGGTATACATGGGGATGGTGCGCGAGTTCTGGAAGGAGAGCAACAGGGGAAAGCGTGCTTTGTCCCTGTTCTCCCCAAGCAGCGCGTGGGCGGAGGGGAGAACAGCGCTGGTGGAGGCCCTGATTTACGTTCATGTGCATGTCATATTTCTTCTAATCTTCATGCACTACTTACAAACATGTGTGCGTGACAACAGGAGGATTATTTTCCGGTCTCTGTCCCTCTCTTAGGGGAGATCAACAGTACGAAGTCGGAAGTGACTATACGAGGGCCGTATCATCAACCCCTCCTCTTGCAGCTCCTCCCGGGTCTGAACCCGTTCAAAAGGCCACCGAAATCAGGCCGCCTTCCCATCCCCGTCCTCGACCCCTACGAACCGTCTCTGCAAACGTTCAAAGTGTCAAAAACAGAGGAGTCGTTCTGCATTCGTCTCCCCCTGCCTCTCACCAGCGTCCTGGTGCTGAAGCTCTCCAGCGTTGCGATGACGCTGTTGGTGATCAACTTCGCAGCTGGAGCAGAGGACATGCCGCCGCTGTGCTCGATGAAGCGCAACTTCATCGAGCTGGACTGGATCTGGCCAGTGGGACTTGCAAAACGTCGCGAATATCTGGAGGCAGAGTGGAGCGTGGTGCAGATGCCTGATCCCAAGGGTCTGGTGGCAGTGCGTCCTGGGCCTGGAGAGGCCGGGTGTCAGCTGCGACGGGTAGGCGAGGGCAAGGAGGTGCGCTGGGAGGAGCTCAATAAGAAGGGCTTGGATGCGGAGAACCCCATCATTATCGCCTGAGCGGGACAGGGACATAGGAACAGGAGAGGTGCGATTCATGGGGTCAAAACTGTAATTCTGTAACGTCTTATTTCATTGATTGTATTTGAATACTCTACTACATGGTCTTCGTGGAAAGTGATACTATCATGAGATGGCAGCCCCTCAGAATTGCGAAATTGAACTAAAGCACCAACTCAGAGCGAAGTCAACGCTCTTCTGGGAGCCTGAGAAGTGGCCGGGCGCTATGTGTGGCTTGGGCGCTTGGAGGTGAGAACTTGCTTATAATCCATCACCTTTGATTGAGACGTGTTAACAACGCTCTCAGACCTCTTCCAACACGCCTCAACACTTCCTCACTGCAATTCCATCTCCCTATGCCTGCCTCGCCTATCACCGATGCCCGTCTTTTCAAGATCATGGGAAAATTCATGGAATATGGATTCGAGAGGGAGTGCAAGTTTGCGGCACCGTGCCCAATGGCCCCTAACACTTTCCATGTTACGGTGGTCTGCCTGGAGAAGCAGAACTTTGCGGAGTACTATGACTACGTGAGTGCTTCTGAACTGGTATCGTAGTGGCGTTGTGCTTAATGCTTCTCCATCCAGTGTCTTATGAACCGGTGCCCTATGCGGCTCAGCGCCAGTCAGATCAATCCAGACCGCGTCGCTGACATGTTGGGCCGCGCCGCAGCACTGCGCAGGCCTCCTGCCAAGTTTGGGGGATGGGTGTTCATGGGTGTTGTTCCCGAGTTCTACAGTGATGGCAGAGCGATCCGTCGTCTGCTGAATCCAAAGGCTAAGCCCGGGGGATGATGCACCCGCCGAAAGCAGTGTTGGTTGAGGGGCTGATGTTTGTATCGGTGCGTCTCAGATGTCTTTGAAAGCTCGCTCCGTTCCTGATAGACACGTTCGGCATATCGTACAGGACGGGTGTGACCCGGTTCCAGTACCCCTTATTGGGATTGTTGACCAGATGGGGATGGAGTTGGAGATTCCCGGACCGTATGAGCAGCCCGTCTTGTCGCAGGCATTTGAGCTGGTCAACAGGGAGACAGCATTCGACCTCTACGAACCCAAGATGCAGACATTCGTGCCTGACCACATCATCAAGGGGTTTCCCATCCGCCGGCAACTCCCTCTCCAGAGCGTCCCCGTTCTCAGGGAGTCCGAGGTCCAATTCACCCCATTCTGCCACTCCTATGCGATTGGAGACCAGAAGAGGGCCCCCATGTGCTCCATGATGCACGACTTCACGGGGATTGAATGGATCTGGCCGGTGCGCCTTCCGAAGCCCCGCAAGTACATCGAGGCGGCCTGGACTCCTGCGGCGACGCCGACATTGCGGGCAGTGCGGCCGCAAGTTGGAGAGGATGGATGCGTGGTCAAATGGGCAGGAACAGAGACCGTGACAGAGGAGGATGCTGCCGATGATGAATAGGCTGGGGAGCAGCTGTGGAACTTGGGAGGGAGGACCGCTTCAGCGTAGACAGAGCATAGATTTTTGAACGGTCAAAATTGACGATGACGACTTGAAGTAGTGGACCGTTCTGATTGTATATAACGGTGTATTACTTGCCATTGACGCATGAGATGTTCAATGCTTGAACTTGATTTGATAAATGATTGAACTTGGTTGGCCAAAGCGCTTTATAGTGCACCAGCAGCGGAAACATTTTAAACCTCAAACCAGATGGTAAAACCACTTATCATTGCTATACAGACAGCGAAAGCTGCTTCAAGAAGTTACAAAGGCTCGCAACAACTCTCGATCTGTTTCAATACATCGGAATGTGTCCCAACGGGTTGAAGGTTTTCCCAATCTGTTGGGCGCCCCAAGTGTTTTTCCTGATGTTCTTCTTCGTCGCAAAGAAGGACGGCACTTGGAGACCCTGTCAGGACTACCGGAAACTGAACGAAAACACGGTCAAGGATCGCTATCCTCTCCCCCTCATCTCTGATCTCATGGACAAATTCAAGCATGCAAAGATCTTTACCAAAATGGATCTTCGCGCTGGCTACAACAACGTCCGAGTAAAAGAGGGAGACGAATGGAAAGCGGCGTTCGCTGTACCCGGAACGGACGGAGGTCCTCCTCGACTCTTCGAACCCACGGTCATGTTCTTCGGTCTATGCAACTCGCCGTCCACCTTCCAGCGAATGATGAATGTCATCTTCGCCGACATGCTTGAAGAAGGATGGATGGTGATCTATATGGACGATATCCTCATCTACTCGGCCAACCTCGACGATCACCATGAACGAACACAACGAGTCATTGCACGGCTAAAGGAACACGACCTCTATCTCAAACCTGAGAAATGTTTCTTCGACGTAGAAGAGGTGGAATTCCTAGGCATGATCATCCGACCTGGACACATCGGCATGGACCCAGTCAAAGTCAATGGCATCACACACTGGCCGGTCCCCACCTGCGTCAAACATGTCCGGTCGTTTGTCGGATTTGCCAACTTCTACAGGAAGTTTATCCACCACTTCTCCGATCGGGTACGACCGCTCGTCGACCTCACAAGGAAGAACATCACTTGGCATTGGAACGCAGAACAACAAGCAGCATTCGAGGATTTGAAGGACGAGTTCACCAAAGCTCCTGTCCTGATCATGCCCGACGAAGCAAAGCCGTTCATCCTCGAATGTGATTCTTCGAAGTTCGCTGTCGGCGGTGCTCTCTTGCAAAAAGACGCAAATGATGAACTGCACCCGTGCAGTTTCTTTTCACAATCATTGAACCCAGCTGAACGAAACTACGAGATCTACGACCGCGAACTTCTTGCGATCATACGCGGTCTTGACGCATGGCAGCAGTACTTGCTTGGTTCCCCACACACGTTGGCAATCCGATCCGATCATCGCAACCTCACGTACTGGAAGAAAGCCCAAAAGCTTAACCGACGACAAGCTCGATGGCTCCTTCAACTCTCCAAATACGACTACGAGCTGCAACACGTACCAGGATCTCAGATGACTGTTGCAGATGCTCTTTCTCGAAGACACGATCACGACGACGGATCGGAAGACAATGACGAGATGGTCATGCTACCATCCTCTGTCTTCGCTCGAGCCGTCAACATCACGCTGAAGGATCAAATCACTGCAGCCCACGACGTAGACCCCATGATTCGTGAAGCCCTTGATGCACTCCTCGGAAAGGGACCACCACCCGCGCGCACGTCACTTGAAGACTGGGCAACTGATGGACAACTTGTCTGGTACAGGAGCAAAGTATACGTTCCTCCGGATGAAAATCTACGAAGACGCATTATTCGGTTGCACCACGATCTTCCCGCAGCGGGACACCCTGGGATCGACGGCACCAAAGTTCTCGTACAACGAGGATACTGGTGGCCCAGAATGACACACTCGATATCGGAATACGTCAAAGGATGCGCACCCTGCCAACAGATGAAACCGAACACGCATCCCACGAAGGTCCCGCTCTATCCTATCCCCGCTTCGCTTCCCACCCGCCCTATGTCGACGATTACAATGGACTACGTCACGCACCTTCCGCCTACTCCGGAGGGATACGACTCTTGCTTAGTCGTTGTGGACCACGACTCTACGAAGGGGGTAATTTATACGCCTTGCACCGAATCTGAAGACGCCGCAGACACTGCTCGCATGCTACACGACACGGTTTACCGACGATTTGGACTCCCAGATCACATGATCTCTGACCGAGGACCCCAGTTCGCGTCTAGAGTCATGCGAGAACTGTGCAAAATCCTTCAGATTGACCAACGAATCTCTACGGCGTACCACCCTCAGACGGACGGACAAACGGAACGAGCAAATCAAGAACTCGAGGTCTACCTTCGTATCCTCTGCGCAAACAATCCTGAAACCTGGGCATCAATGCTTCCCGACGCCGAGTTTGCACATAACTCTAGGAAGCACTCTACGATCAAGATGTCCCCGTTCTACGCAATGATGGGCTACGAACCTCGCTCCATCCCAGCCGTCCATGAACCCACGAACATTCCCTCCGTTGAAGAACGGCTCAATAACCTGCAACAAGTTCGGAAAGAAGCCGAAGCCACGATGGAGCTTGCCCAACGCATGGTAGAAGACCGTATCCGCAAGGGATCCCCGACATTTCAGAAAGGACAAAAGGTCTGGCAAGACTCGAAGAACCTTCATCTCCCTTATCCGTCCCGGAAACTATCGCCTAAACGGGAAGGACCATTTGCAATCACAGAAGTCATGGGACGCGGAGTCTACAGACTGGCGCTCCCGAAGCAATGGCGAATCCATCCTGTCTTCCACGCCGGTCTTCTTTCCCCGTACAGAACGACGGACACTCACGCTCCTAATCATACGCTCCCACCACCTGACCTTATCGACGGAGAAGAAGAATACGAGGTGGAGCAAATTATCAATCACCGAGGAAGCTCTAGTCGGAGGCAATACTACGTGTCATGGCGTGGTTATCCTTCGTCAGCCAACGAATGGATACCGGAACGGAACTTAACCGGAACATCTGATGACCTTCTCTTAGAGTATAAGACCAAGCATCGCATTGGAGTCGTCCGCATCGACTTCACCCACGAAGACGATAACCAACTTCCGACTCTCTGAGCTTTCCCCACTTCCTCATCCCACTCGATATGTCCCGCTTTGCCGCTGCTCGCACTCCCTCCACATTATTTAGTGTGTCTTACACGTTCCGAACGTTAAAACCGGAGTGAGATTTGCCCGTTTCGAACGTGGCGGCCGGCGCCGGCCGGAGGGGTCCGGGTCCACGTTGCAGACGTGGACGTTGCCAGTGATCCGGCCGGAGATCATGCCGGCCGGTTCAGCCTCGTCCCCAACGTTGCGGCCGGCCCTGTCCTCCTCAAATACCACCTCCAATGTTGCGGCCGGGCTGTTTTCACCGGACGTTGCAACGCTCCGGCCGGACTACACCCAGGCTGCCCCCCCACTTCTGAACGATCCGCCCGGCCTCTTTCACCCAACGTTGCAATGCTCCGGCCGGAGGGTATGCCGGCCGGTCATCCCTCGTTCCCAACGTTGCGGCCGGAGCAGGCAGAATTCAAAGTGGCCAGGCAGTCCACGCTGCAAACAGTCCGGCCGGTCAACAGATATAGCATTGCAAACGAGCTGGCCGGCCTCAGGCCCTACCACTACAAATGGTCCGGCCGGACTTTTTGCCGGCCGAAAACACAATGTCTCGGGCCGAGGGTACAGCCAAAACTCGGCCAAAGCAGCCAGACATTTCCGGGCCGAGCTTTTGCTTCACCGACCGGGCAAGCATTGTCTCGGGCCGAAAAGTTGACAATTTTCTCGGGCCGAAGATTTGAGTACTGCCTCGGGCCGAAGAGTTGGGCATTTTCTCGGGCCGAAGATTTGGCCGAAGCTCGGTGAAAACAGCCGGGCTGTCGGATTGCCATATAAGGAAATTTGGTATTGACTGGTAGTACTTCATTGATAGACTATAGTATCAATTCCCTAGTGACCAAAGATGTCTAGTTAGGCCAGGATGTGCAAAACAAGATTTACTCACAGGCTTCTTTGCACAACAAGCTAATCAATTTCTGAAGCCAGTTTTCTTTTCCCACACTGTTTGACTATCTAGGATGTGTTGTTTCAATGCATAGAGTATATTCCCAACAGGAATAGTCTTATTCTTTGAAGCTGAATGCAGAACATGAGATAAGGGGCATACAGATATGGTACCGTGCTGAACAATGTTGACTCCTGCAGACAATCTACATTCAAAACACTGTTTCACAACCTCTGATGGTTCATTTACCCATAGGGAGTGAATCCTCCAAAGGAACAGTCTTATTCACATAAGCTGAATGTAGTACAGAGTTAAGGCAAGGGTGTATGGGTATACATGTCATACTGTGTTTACTTCCTGAAGCCAATATGCTTTCCCCACAATGTTCCACAATCTAGAGTAGCACATTTCAATGCAACAAGCAAGTCTCCCAAAGGAATAGTCTTATTCTTTGAAGCTGAACTCAGGGATGAAGATAAGGTGAATATGCATTATATTGTGAGAGACATACTTTGGATTATTGTCTGTCTGGGTGTCACACTGAAATGTTGTACCAGCATGCACATTGCACCTGCCACAGAAACATTTACATTGGTAACAGTCCGGCCGGCCAATCCTCATCCTCATAGGAGATGGTCCGGCCGGAGTGCATGATCCCCTTAACTCTGTACCACACACAGCTTGTGTGAATAAGACTATTCCTTTGGAGGATTCACTCCCTATGGGTAAATGAACCATCAGAGGTTGTGAAACAGTGTTTTGAATGTAGATTGTCTGCAGGAGTCAACATTGTTCAGCACGGTACCATATCTGTATGCCCCTTATCTCATGTTCTGCATTCAGCTTCAAAGAATAAGACTATTCCTGTTGGGAATATACTCTATGCATTGAAACAACACATCCTAGATAGTCAAACAGTGTGGGAAAAGAAAACTGGCTTCAGAAATTGATTAGCTTGTTGTGCAAAGAAGCCTGTGAGTAAATCTTGTTTTGCACATCCTGGCCTAACTAGACATCTTTGGTCACTAGGGAATTGATACTATAGTCTATCAATGAAGTACTACCAGTCAATACCAAATTTCCTTATATGGCAATCCGACAGCCCGGCTGTTTTCACCGAGCTTCGGCCAAATCTTCGGCCCGAGAAAATGCCCAACTCTTCGGCCCGAGGCAGTACTCAAATCTTCGGCCCGAGAAAATTGTCAACTTTTCGGCCCGAGACAATGCTTGCCCGGTCGGTGAAGCAAAAGCTCGGCCCGGAAATGTCTGGCTGCTTTGGCCGAGTTTTGGCTGTACCCTCGGCCCGAGACATTGTGTTTTCGGCCGGCAAAAAGTCCGGCCGGACCATTTGTAGTGGTAGGGCCTGAGGCCGGCCAGCTCGTTTGCAATGCTATATCTGTTGACCGGCCGGACTGTTTGCAGCGTGGACTGCCTGGCCACTTTGAATTCTGCCTGCTCCGGCCGCAACGTTGGGAACGAGGGATGACCGGCCGGCATACCCTCCGGCCGGAGCATTGCAACGTTGGGTGAAAGAGGCCGGGCGGATCGTTCAGAAGTGGGGGGGCAGCCTGGGTGTAGTCCGGCCGGAGCGTTGCAACGTCCGGTGAAAACAGGCCGGCCGCAACATTGAGGAGGGGGCAGGGCTGGCATGCACTCCGGCCGGAGCGTTGAGCAGTGGGGGGTGGGCTGGCACGCACTCCGGCCGGAGCGTTGCAACGTCCGGTGAAAACAGGCCGGGTGGATCGTTGGGGACAGTATTCAGGGATGGCAAGGCCGGCCGCAAAGTTGGAGACGAGGCAGAGCCGGCCGGCATGCACTCCGGCCGGATCGCTGGCAACGACAACGTCTGCAACGTGGACCCGGACCCCTCCGGCCGGCGCCGGCCGCAACGTTCGAGACGGGCAAATCTCACTCCGGTTTTAACGTTCGGAACGTTAAATCTTACTCAGTAGGCTCCTCCCTCTCCCATCCTCCCTACTCCCCTCCTCACCGAAACTCGTCGACTCTTATCTGAACGAGAAGAATTGCAGGAAACCCCTGACACTCGCGTAAACTGGAGGGCGGTCCAACATCTGTTCCTTGATCCTGAATTGCAGATGGCCCATGTAGCCTACCCCCCGTCGATATCCCCCTCACCAACGAAGAGCAACACGACGCTCTCGACGCAATGGTCACTACGTTCGACGCCATAGCCGAGGTCACGCTCAGGAGGCACCTGCGAGAGGACATCCTGGCAGAGTTCGAGGCGTACGAACGAGATGCCGTGGGCGAGCTCGCTGCGGCCCTTGAGACATTGGAACGAACCCGGTTCCCCGAGCTCGTTGCGCACCATGACCCCGGACTACGCGACCCCACGCATTTCGTATACCACGGAAGGGACTTGCGTCGTCCCGACCCAGTACCCGAAGAGACGCTACCCCTCGTAAACGACACCACTACATGCTTCTTGGGGTGCAACAACGAGAATCGACACAGGGTCATCGATTGCTTTATGTATATCTGTCCCAAATGCCGACGCACCGCCCCTGGTCATACGAACCAAGACTGTCCCCAGGTAGGACCAGTGACGACACACGGTAGACGACTCTCCGATATCCTTGACGCCGACATCCTCCACGAGTCGCAACTCGTTCGGCTTCGCAACTCTGCGCAACGAGGAGCGCATCAGCTGGCCGAGGAAACCGACGAGCACGAACTCCCGGAACCATACTCTCTTCGACATCGTGCATCCCGTCGTCGTCGACACCTTCCTTCGACGCCTTATCCTGCGTCTCGATACTATGCTGTACCCCGAGGCCGCATCCCTGGCATCTATCGGATTGGCACGCACGCCATCCTGAGCCGACTGTATCGTTCGGGAGCGCGAGGAATGGTGTTCGACACCTGGCAGGCGGCTTCAGAGTATATGGATGAGTGGCATATCGGCCCGTACTACGATGAGGATAACGACGAGATGAACCATGACGGAGGATATCGCGGAATCCTCCCGTCAGACCTCGTCTTACGACCTCGACGCATTCCCACTCCCCCCGCACATTTACGACGACCGCATGGACCTTTCCCGGCCCCACCGTTGGTACGCGTCGTCTCGCCCCCGACGACACCAACGGAAGAGGACTTCCATATCGAACCGACGCCCGCAGAGTTGGCAGATGCACCTCCTCGATACTCCCAACCCCCTGCATACTCTGAAGACAAGCATGTCGAAGCGCCGATACCTCGAGCTCCGTCCACATCGTCGTCCATGAGTACCGACGGCTTCTTCGCACTCGAGGCTCAACTTCTCGCCCAGCAACGAGAGGAAGATCCACAAGCAGCTCCATCTGTCGATACCCCCTCTCGTGCAGAAGAACTGATCGATCATCTCTTCGGTCGACGGATTCTGCAAGTCGTCTACGGCCCAGACGGAGAAGTCGTAGGGTACTCGGTGGGCATCAACGAAGATGATCCCAACCGATCCTTCCTCCTTCCAACAGAGGTACCTCCTTCCGTCGCGGCCAGAAACACCAACGCCGCTATTTACCGAATACGCGCCAACAGACGAGCGAGGAGTATTCCTCACGTTGGAACTCTTCAGGTGGTGGCCGAGTCTAACGAAGAGACGCACACCGATGAAGACCAACCGGCGAGTCGAGTACCCTCTCCGTGGGACTTCAACGGCGACATTAACGACATGTACGCTGACGCTGATGGTAACGATGGAGGGGATGAACAGGATCCTGAGGCTTAGTGGTCGACGCGGACGTCGACCATAGAAAGGGGCTTATGTTACAAGGTGCCATATGACGTACATTTCATTTTCTCTTATTTGTTAACTCTAACCACCTCACGTGCATGAGGACCGGTTATGTACTATACCGCACCCGGACTATCATGTGATAGCTGACTCTTTTCTTCGTCATGCTCATCATTTCCTTCGTCAGCGATGACATATCCTGACTCATGCTTACTGTACGATCTGACTCAGGCTTCTTCGTTTGTATATATACCTGTACAGTAAAGGTCGGACTCTTCAGTTCGACCTGGTTAGCAATCGACGCTAGCTTTCTCATACCGCTACCGCTTCGGAACTCGACGAGGACGAAGGGATTCACATCCTTCCTCGGTCTAAGACACAGAACTCTCCTTGAAGTTAGTAACCTTGCAAGCTTGTGGCTTGTAGTGTTCCACTCGCCTAGCTTCGCGTAACAAGAGCATATTATGCTCACTTCTGGCCGTTCTATTGATGGGTACTGGGTAGGTATCACTGGGGAGATAGTCATACTATTCCGAGGTAACAATACATTGTATACACTTGGTAAGCATATATACAGTGTAAGTATCACTACTAAATGTATTATCCAAAAAGTCGCGACGATAAACGGAGAGGGGAGCGAGATATTCGTGCTCGTCGTCGCCGACAGCGAGCACAGCGCCGGACGCGGTGGCGAGCGCGCGTGGGAATCACCCGATCAACGACCGTGGGAGTGCCCGCGAGGCTCGGGCACGCGCCACCCAGCCGCGCGTCAGAGTCAACGCGGACCCGATCTCCGCACGGGCCCGCCATGGTCGTCGACGGTGAGCGCGATGCGATGGGCCCGTGCGCGGTGGCGGCGAGCTCAGCGGGCGTGGCGTCGGCTTACCGAACGTCGGGTGCGACGCCCGGGGATCGGGAGAGATCCGTGATCTTGAGGGAAGCGCCCTCAGCCACGTAGCACGTGCGCTGCTCGAGGGATACCGGACTTGGGCAAGGGAGAGGTGGAGGGGATGATTACCTTAACGAGGAAAGGGGACGGTGGTAGCAATGGTAAACTGCGTGGTATGCGGGGACAGGGCTAACTGATCTCGTTAGCTACGCGATACGATACCCGTATCAAGAGCTTATCAGCCGGGAGATATCCGAGAGCGAGGTGCGCCGATCATGGCGTACTACCGGAATGACCAAATCGGTAACTGTATTTACTCGCTTTGGTTCTGTGGGTCCGTCCGTCTGATAGGTACTTGCCTAATAGAGCCGGATGACCCTCCTTGCCTCGCCGAGGGCTGCTCTCGATGTGCCACACGGGCACCCATGCTCTGCTGTGTCCTGTGCTCCCCCGATGCTCCCTGCTTCGCGGCAGTCGCACCTCGCGAATGCGATGTGGCGCCGCCTCAGCCTCGCGCGTCACGCATCAAGAAGGACACGACCATCTCGCCAGCCGGACACGACCTCAGGACGGCCCTCGACACCTTCCGCCGAGAGCGGACAATCAACAAGTATGGCCGGGCCTTACTCGACAGCCTTGGTGCCAGTGCCGTGATTCCAGACGACGTGATCGACCGACTAGTCGAGTGTGCACAGGCTAGGAAGATAAAATCGGTAGACGACATTCAGCGCGAGGTAGGGAAGAAGTGGGGCAAGGCTCGGGAGTATGGGGAGGCAGTGACAAACATCATAATGCGGTGCGTCAGTCGAAGCTATTGACATCTCTGTTACTGAGCGTTTTCTAGCTTCTTTCCTATGGACAGCCCGTTCGTGACGGCACCGCTAACCCCTCGTCCACAAGCGATGAACGCAACGGCAGCGGGCGTTCGACCATCGACCACACCAAACCGCAGAGCTCTTCCTGGCACTCCGACACCATCTAGGCCAACTGTCCGGCAGTATAAGTGTGGCGCATGCGGTCAGACCGGCCACAATCGTGAGTGCTGAGCCGAGTGTCAATGTCTTAATGACTGACTAGGTTATAATACAGGAAACAATCGATCATGTCCGAAGTACCATGACATGAACAAGGGTCCTCGAGAGCAAGCTCTGCGTACGGTTGTCCATGATGAGGCGCCAGTGGCCGACGAGCCTCAGCAGCGTTCGCCGAGTCCGCATCCAGGGCCCTCGACGGTATTAGACACTGTCTTCACCACTCCCTCGTATCGACGCAATGTCCGGGTTGCGACACTCGATACTATCCGCGCAGAGCGGCGCGATCTTTCGGGTCAGTCACCTCAACCACAGGATAACTTAGCTGTGCCAGGTGCATCTTCGCAGATCACATCGGAATCCGGCTTCAGTGGTACGTCCATGGCCATTCTGACTTGTTCGGATACACATGCTCACAGATGCTTACTAGGAGCAGCTTCCAGTTCGAATCAGGCACTGATGCGGCCCATTCCGCCGTCTCGCTTCTACGGCAGTCCTGCAAAATAGGGGCTGAGCCTGACAAGTGCCCGGCAGGTACGTCCTTTTGATATTACAATGCAGTATCGAGGCTAAGATCTGCTGCATCAACAGTTGTATCTACGCCATCCTGAGGTGGTCCGAGTCCTGTACTGTCGGCGTCGTCGACATCACTTGTCCCGCCGAGCATCAACCCCACTCCCTTACTCAGCATATCTCGGACGCAATGCGCGGACTTCCGACCCTCACGTCGCTCGTGCGGCCTCGTTTCATCCATGTTTTTGAGTAGAGCACTGAATGTTAATTTGAGGTTCTTCTTTCCGTGAGCTGACGAGAGGCCGGAGAGATAAAAATTGTGCTCTGCATTGCGAGCACAACTTCGGTACACCAGGACATTGGGAGACTCGGTGATAACCCGGTCCTTTGTGTAATTGGAGCCGTCTCCACCGTAAGTGTCCTTGATGAATGTGTGTCAGCCTCGCCCATACCACGAACGGTTCATTGATACCTTGGTGAATAAATTCATCAGCTCAACGACCCAATCGACCCCCCGGAAAGCGTGTGGTTTGCCTGTTGGGTTAACAAGAATGTTGTAACGAATTGCATGGCTTCCACAGTACAATGAGTCTCGCCATAACTATCGTCAGATCAGCAGGAAGTGCTCACCGCAGTCGCTCGGGGTAGACAAAATGTACATCTGTCCAGAACCTCTCCATGTAGCTTGCATATTTATGCTTCCCCGTCGCCTTGAACAGAGCAATCCATGCAGGCATTATTGCCTCAATGCCTCCAATATCTCCCGCATTGGCATGATAGGAGAACTCCTCGTACAGCGAAAAATACTGATGCATGAGCATGATGTTTTCGTGTTGCTGATCGCGTACATCGGCACTGCGGTTGCGCATAGCATAGAGGTTCTGCACCCCGGCAACGTACTTGGGGACCATACGGTGGGCTATGGTGACAAGCTGCTCGAATGTCGGTGTCTGGCGAGCAAAGTCATCCAGATTGTCCACTCCTTGACCACGATATTGCGAGCGGGCCTCCGTACGCCAACAATCCAGCCGCAGTACGATTCCGGTGTGCAATATCACCTCGTGCATCTGGCGAAACTTCGGCTTTGAACCTATCTGGCCTGTTTCTCGTGGGCGTAGCATCCCCACAAAATGCATGAGACTGTTCTCATCGCGACGCGACTCGGGTGGTTGTATGAACATGCGCCAGATATCGTCTGCACAGGCCATCTTCGAGTGAAATATACCTGGGACAAAGATGGCAAACTGATGGCGGCGAAGGGCTGTCTGCTTGATGCTGCGGCGCTTTTGGATAGCCTGTACCCACTCAGCCGTTCCGAGATCACCATGGACAAGCACTACATGCTCTGATATGTCCACTATGTCTTCATCTGCCTCCGTGGCCTCGGGGTCTCCGATCCCTGCCTGTTTGAGCAAGTCCGCGATCGCCTGGATGTTGCCGTCGACCTTTGACTGATTTATATCCATGCACCGAACGGGGTGGTAGGTGAGCTTTACAACAGGGATCTGTTCGACGGCTTCTGGGTTGGGTAACAAAGGAATGAATTGTCGGAAATATTCTGGGCCATGTCGGAAGAGTGCGTCGAGAAAAAGCCATGCTGTGAAGCGGGCGCTACGGGACAAACCCGATGGATGTGGAGGATCGGGATGGAGTGTCAGGAGGTTCTCGTACGAATATCGTGGCGGCGGGTTTGGGCTGTAGAGGACACTCGGATTGAGCCACGACGTCTCCCATAGCCTACGTGAGCAGCGTAGGTCGTCAGGCTGGACACCATGCTCGAGCTTGATGATGAGCCCTGATGTAAGGTGGACAAGACGATCCCCCGATTTCTCGATGGTAGGTGTCATGGTTCTGAGTGTCAGCTCACAGTTGTCGTATGCGAGCATCGCGCGGAGGGACTGCCCGAGCTGGCGAACATTTCTCGCACTCTCTCGGGACAGCGAGTGAACGGCATTATTGATCGAAGACGGCGAGATTGAGATGCCCATGTGAGCGAGTGCCTTGATGACCTTGTCTGGTGTATTGCAGGAATGGAAGAAGATCGCGTTTACGGCAGCGAACGCGTTGCATTGTTGGTTGAGCGAGTGCATGATTACAGACAGTATAACTACTGTCTTCTGCGGAAGGCAAAGTTGATTAGGACGAGAGTAAGAGCATGTGCACTCGCAATCTGGCTCACTAGATGACATAAGGCTCGCTGCAATTTCAATCGAGCATCCTTCGCAGGAGCTGAGGGATCGGCGCCTTCTCGAACATCGCCTCCGCCGAGCTCTTGAAGCTCCCGCCACAACTCCAGCTCATCCGGACTGAGAGTTTGATCCTCGGAATCTCCCTCCGCTAGGCCGGTCCAGAGCTCTCGGCCTGACAAGAGGAACACAATGAGTTCCCATAGTTCGGGAGCCAGGGACCGCATTCGTGCAGCCATGTCCTCAATGCGGAAATCAAGGACTTGTTCGGCTTTCATGTGCACGGCACCGAGATGCCATCCGTTGTCCTTGTCCGTCAGCTCGCGCGCGACACGATGGTAATGTGCTTTCATTTCTTGATGCGCCCAACGCCGTGTCACGGCAGACGTCCGAGTATTCCGCGCAGACGCCGCGAGAATAAGGCCAAGATTGGCATTGAGACCTTCGAAGAAGGTGAACCCGGCGAAGGTCTTGTCATCGAGTGATTCCAGAACGAGCTCAGACAGTGACACACGAGCTTCAAGGAGAGCTTTTCGAATGAACTGGATTTGCGCGAGAGATATCATCGCCCGGGACGTACAAAACGCACTCGTCCGTTGTACATATGCAGTGCACGCGTTCGCGCAATTGAACATCGCTCGAGGCGCAGGTAATTACATAATCTCGGTCATTGATCGACTCGCCAAATTGGGGGGTATGCAGCCGGGGCTCCGTTTGTTTGTATATGTTTTGTGCCAGCCGCCAGAGGGGGGTAAAGGGGAATAAGATTACGGAGATTCAGGATCGGGCGGGGATAGAAATATTTGATGGGATGTGGCTGAGGTGTGGCGGGTCAGGATAGGGACACAAAACATGAATTGCGGTCTCGAAATTCATCCCCTCTACCCCCCGAAGGCGGATGGGGAGGAGCCTGGCCTACATAGCCATTCGGGATCTGCTCGAGCGTCCGACGATCTGCTCGAACTCAACTCCGAGTCAGCCTGGCACCGACACCTGTGTGGAGGTCCTTTACCTCGTAGTCTGACAATAGCTTCGCAAGTATATCCGGTCGACTCATTCAGCGCCGGAGCCAGCAGCACCTGTCATTGCAAAACATCCATTCCAAGTTTCGAACCCTTCTTTCACTGCCCTTGATAGATGCGCTCGACGTCCCTGTCATGGCCTCCGCAATAGACCATTGTGACGGGTATATTATTCTCGCCATATTAGTGATTAGCAGAGAGTACCGATCATACCTATGGACGGGTGGTATATATGCCTTGGCGGCTCCGAAGTCAGTGGTACTGTACTCCTACTGCGCACTGCAGTCCAACGCACTGACACAATGTCGAGCGTACCAGCTGCGGAACTTGTACCTTACTTCAATAGCATGTGAGTAGAATGCTTCTAGTGCACCGCATGAATCGAAACTAACATAGTGTTCCGGAGGTTCACGCAGGGCTGTCTCAATGCAGCAGTCGTAGGTAAGTGCTCACACCACCTGTCGAAAGTTTGAAGTCTGCTACTACGGAGTATAGCGTTCCTCATCTACGACTACGTCCTCACGCTTGGCCGCGAAGTTGAGCTGTTTTGGTGCGGAAGAGGAGCTGTGGTGGCCAAAGCTGTTTTTCTCATTCTTCGGATATCCGTCCTCGGAAACGCGATCACAACTATCCTCACGACCTACGTCACAAAGTATGACCTTACTGTGAGTACTGCGTCGTTCTGGTTGCATGCTCAGACACTCAGAGGCTTCACGAGTAAAGATTGAAGGGTAAGAAGCGCGCATAGTGAAAGTAGGCATGTGTTCGACTTCTGACGCTCCATATGTCAGTTGTTCTACCACGAACGACTCGTGGGCGGCACTCTGGCTGGCCGGTACATTCGCTATAGCAGGTCCGCTTTTTTTTTCTTCTCATTGGGAATCAAAGGCACTCATTTGGCGCCTTCCCCAGAAGCTGTCACCGCTCTACGCGCCTACGCGGTTAGCGGTGGTCAATGGATATGGACAATCGTCACGTCGGTGCTGGCTTTTGCAAACTTTGCTTTGACCGCTGTAGGTTTCACCTGCACGCCTTTGCCACTGGCTAATAACCTGCCATATTTCCCCCAAGTACACTCATCTAAGGCCTTCGTACCGTTTAGTCGAACTGCAATCATCTTGGACCTGCTGGGAAACGGTAGATGTTTCCCCGACGCAAAGCACAATGTAGGTATCGCCCAACAATCGGATGAAACCACACTGAGCAAAGCGTTGAATCCCCAGATGTGATTGGTTTGATGACGGATGTATTCATTGCGTTTCTGACTACTTATTGCAGTAACACTGGCGATACTCATATCCACCGCGCTGGCTGACGCTATCGTCATCATTGCAACGTGGGTGCGCACGGCTAAAACTGTCATACTTCAGGTGAGGAGGGGATTATGGAGACATTCCATTTCTTGGCTTCTATTCAGAGACGGTGCGTTCTTTCAAATTGTCAGAAACGGCATGGGCAGCTGAAGACACTGATATGTATCGCCCTTCCTAGGGACCATATACTTTCTGTACGTCCCTGTCTGAGAACATTCCAACGCGCAGCGTCTTGAGTTAGCTTCAGCGCGGTGTTTCTTCTGAGCCTTCTGATTGGCATCATTGGTCAGAAATTCGGTGTGGATTAGGCTGTATGGTCCCCGGTCCTCGAAACTGAAAACATTTCTATCCAAAACCTCAGCTTCCTCGCCAACCTGGTCTTGCCGCAAGTATCCATTCACGTTCTGCTCATCCCCATGACGACATATTCTGACGCCATTGTCGTAGACTCCAATTAGTCCTGATATCTCGGTTGTTGATCAATTTGCGTGAAGCACCCGAGGGTGACATCTACATTGGCTCCCAAGATCCGCCTGTCGGGAGCGATGGGTTTCCGGAATATGCAGCCGAGGCGTCGACTCTTAGATTCGAACATGCGGTCACCGTTCATGATGAGGAAGCATCTGGTACGTTCGTTCCTGTCGCCTCAGAGCTTGGAGTGCGAACTGATGTGCAAATGCAGCACAAGTTGAAGAGCATACCGGTGCCGATGCGCGCGATAACTGGGTTGATGCCGCTCAGTTGGATGTGCACGAAGAGCTTCGTGACAATGCTGAATGACCCGTGACCGTTACCCTACCTCCGGTAATCCTATGACTGTCCAGAGACATCTGGCAGATGGTCACCGGGCTGCTCGAGCCATGTATATGCACTACTTATGGATAATAGAAAGCAACCGTGTACATCATGGCGTTGCGAGCCAGAGAAACATGCCTTTTGCAAGAGCCGAGTTCCGGTATATCAGTCTCAGCCTACTGCGCTGGATGCTGCGCATCTCTTAGGAGAAATAAACAGAAACGAAAATGGCTTGACTGTTCAAACGTTCGAACAGATGTCACATAGTCGGCTCCGTCGAAAGGAGCTCCAGTCGCTGACGACATCAATTACTCTCTTAGCATCGTCCACCACAAACTTCATGACAACGAGTAAGACTGCCGACACGCCGACCACGAACAATAGCTAGTACGCTTCGTCCTTTTCATCCTCATACCTCCCAGCTGCGGCAGCGTGCAACGCGGCAATGGAGCGTCGGAGGCTGGTAACAAGAACAGGATCAACACTCGCAGGTTGAGCACGGAGGTATACGCACCTAATTTGCTCATCGTAGTACTCTCTGATTTCGCGGTACCGCTTCAGGCGCAGACGCTTATGGAGTAGAACGAGCATGACGATCGTAGCGGACATGGCTATACATCGTGCAAAGCGTCAGTTAGCTCAAACGGCGCCTTCAAGAGCGTGTTACCTAAGAGAACGCTGAGTGCGACAACGCCGTATTGCCAAGTAGCTACGTGCAGGGGCATTTCCGGTGGATCGATGCAAGTTCCAGAGGTACCACAATTGTGCTATCAGGTTGTGATCAGACCCGGTCGTCAGGTATGCATGTGATGTGAACGTACGCTCTGGCACTCGCGATCCGTATCGCACTCCGCGCCCAAACTCTTAGTCAGGACGCATTGTGTGCTGTTCCGGTCGCAATACAACCTTGGCGACTGGCAATTGTCCCGAGTGATCGTATTGCTGTACTGCTGTCCGTCTGGGCCGTCTACGATGTACGTCACGTCGTCGAGGAGGCACGTATGCCCGAGCGAGACATTCGCGTACCTGCACGACGGTCAGCCTCTCATACATTCGCTTCCGTCAAGGTCCTTTCACTCACATGCACGTCGACTTCAGACAGATCGACCCGTTGACATTCCAATTACTCGCGAGGCTCTGCCATTTCGGCGGCGGCGCACACTGGTCGTCCCGGTTCATCTGGCATGCCTGGCCAAGCCCGACGAGGGTCTCGCACCCACTTCCGTCATCAGGGCAGAAACTACCTCCAGAGCACAGCGGCGGAAGTGGCTGGTCCTCGCCGTAACCGAACGGGAACTCGTCTCGGCGGCAGCGGCGGGGCTGACAGGTACCATTCGTGGCAGTGGTGGATGAAGTCGAGTTGGCCGTAGCAGAGGTCGAGTTCGATGATACGGAGCAGAACGCCGTGTCGGAGCAGTCGCTGAGGAAGGTGTGCGAAGAGGGGTCGAGCCGGCTATTGGAGGTAGAACACGCGCCGCCTTCTTCGACATCTCCGGCAAGAGTCAGCAAAGGGATGCTGAGGGTGAAGATCCCGAGACAACGAGATACCAGCATCGGTCCTTCTGCAGTAACGGAGTCCTGAGCACGACTAGCGAGAAACAAACAGAAGCCGACCTGTCACTTGTTCTATCTTCGCCTGGTAGCCCGCTCAGCCATGATCCCGATCGTTGTAGACGTACCCAGTTTCGGTTCAGACCAATAGAGTGGCACCGAATATCCCAGCAGTGCACGGTTGCACACACTTGGCTTGAGGTGGACGGTGGTGGCAGTGCAGTCGTCTCACTTAGCTTCCCGGACAGGGAGACGTCACAATCCAAAACGTAGAAAGCCATCGCATAGCATATCACAGGAACATCGGAAGAGCACAGCTCTCAGAAGCATATCCACGACGAGGAACCGTTAGAGTGAGGTTGCCGCTCGCGTCCAGTACAACATGCACACCACCCAGGTTCACGTCTTTAGGCGTGAAAGCGATTTCCCAGCTGAAATGCGCTGCGGAGAGGTCATCAGCACGCAACTTGAGATGGCGCAGGAGTGGACACATACCATCGTGTTCCAAATGCCACGCATCCGCCACGATGGCCAGCCTGCAGCCGCGCTTGACGTATACGGTAACCATCTCTGTCGAGATACCCTTCGGCACCCGCGCACAAAAGGTGTACTGATCAGAGGACCGCTGCATGAGCATCGACGCGCGCCGCGCGCACCGTCTCGCGTGTGCGATGGGCGATTCCGGTGACGACGCGGCCGCTTGCTCTTCTTGCGGAACCAGAGACGAGGAGAGTTTGGATTTGGACGAGGCGCGGTCCGCCTCAGAGGTAGGCTCCAGTTGCAAAGACGACGTAGATAACAAAGAAGCAAGAGAATGCAAAGACGACGCTGACGACAGTGTCGGTCCCAGGGAGATCCCGCTCCCGATGCTTGCCTCCGGAATTGTGATCTTCATTTTTGCGATTGAGGAAGACAGAACGTCTACGTCGGGTTCGTCTCCAGAGACTCGGTTGCTCTTCGCCAATGGCAACAGAGTTGCTCGCTCCTGCACTGGTGAAAGCGCTGCCAGACTGAAGGAAGCCGCCCGAGATGTCGACTTCACGGAACCGCTTGGTGTACGTCTACTGTCATTTCCAGACGTGTAGCCGAGAGGTGAGACTTTGAATGTGATCAGAAGCAAGGAAAATAACTGGTGGACCGAAACTCACAAGGGTTGGACGACCTGCGCCGCACGCTCGACCTATGTCCTAGTGACGCCAGCTCCCCTTTCTTCTCCGCAAATCTGTGTCCTGCATTCTGGGATAAGGAGGTGCTGCCAGATGTGTCGCAGGCGGAGGACTTGGGGGAAGAGTTTGCGAGCGTGCCTGCGCTGCGACTTTGAGAAAGACCTAAGAAATTAGCAGGTGTTGCGAGCGAAGTTAGTCGGACGCGGGTCTTATTAAGAACAGACATGGCGCAAAAGATGGAGAACGAACAGTCAGGGGACACAGTAAAGGTGTAGCGATACCAGTCCGGAGATGGATGGCGAGTGAGGCTGCAGGCTCGTTTCAGTGTTGACCGCCATTACACTCGAGGCGGCCCCACAGCCTGTGCCGCAGCAGCCGCACACAGGTGATAGGCAAAGGGAACATATTAACCTGGCGCACAAGCAGGATGAAAGAGTACTTGGTCATCGCCGTTGGACTCATGGACGTTCAATGGACATTCACTTACTGGACAGTACTCATGTCACGGTCGGTGACAGCACGCGCAGAACAGAGTCACGGTCACGTCAGCAGTCGCACCGTGACACTGACGGAGTCCAATTCAACATTTCAATCGCTTCCTCTACTACCCAGCGTACGCCTCTCTACCATGACTCCAGGTGTCCTAGTTCGACCTAAATCACCTGTCATTCCCGGTTCTGACTGCCAGTCTCGAGTTCTGGTATCACCGCTTTCTGGGTGATTATAGCGGTCTGCACTCTGCATCTAAGAACCGGTCATCGGGCTGTTCATACCTCTGGGAGGCAGAGGCTCAGCGAGGATATCACTCATGCGACTTGCTCGATGTCCTACTGGAGCAAGCGAACATGAAATCACTCGACGTTGCTGTAGAGAGTTTTGGCAGCAACTGTGAAAGTTCACGCCACCACCAGACCACAGCTCCGACACCACCGATCTCTGTCAGATCTGCGGTGGGCGTGACACGGGCGTTACCGGCCAGCCCGCCCTCCCGAGCGTCGTCCGTGAGCGAATTGCCATGAATAGTAGGAGTGTCACGGCCCGTCACTCGGCGTCACACTCTCGACCAGCCCCACGGAGCCCCACCACCACCAGACCTCAGCTCCACCTCCACCGTTCAATTCAACTTCAACAGTTGTTTCCAAAACTCTCTTGTGTCGAGTATCCTCCCGAACGTCTGGCCACTCGTCCTTCATGCATCATGACACACGGAGGTTTATGTGTGTGAGTGTCGTCATTCCTGTTCGTCTTGTTACTCTGTTGTGGAGCTCTCGATAGTACTGTGGCGAGCTTGGACCTACGTCCGTGTTCCTATCCACTGGAGCTGTATACGTCACTCAGAAAGATGTTACATATATCTTCACGATCAGCTGTTCCCGACACTTAGAGCATGGCCGACTTAGCTATGTGTGCTGGGTGTGCTTTGGTCATTCGCAGTGAGTAGTCCCGCTCACGTGAATGACATTGTATGATTATTCCTGAAAATACCTAGACAGGCCTTCTAGCAGGTGATCGCACGAACATGCTTCCAAAGACATGTCAAGGCATTCGCTTCTGAGGTGTCCTAGTCCTTGGCAGCCATTTGCGATGCACTTCAGCAGTCTGTGGACGACGCAGCCAGCACACGTCTCACAGTGGGTTTCCCGCACTGACGCATTTAGAACGATTGACTCTTGCGGGTTTCCTGCGGCAGAAGCTCCTTAGGTAGGTCTACACGTTCATCCTAAGTTTGATCGCTGAACCTGTCCCTGCACGTAGAAAAGCTGTCTTAGCACCGCATCTCAGATCCATCTCGAGTATTACTCAATGCGTACCTGAGTTGTCTCATATTTACTGAGTTCCTGACAATATGAAGTAAACGTCAACTAAGAGGCAGCGGTCGGGCCAAGCTGGATTCCGAGCACGTCGCGCTATGCGATTCTATCGGCCGTCGCGGCTAACAACTATATGACCCTGCATATGACTCGCATTGAGATTACTTCCTCATATGCGTATGTACCTCGACCAACAGAGCTCGGCGGAATGTGAGTGCATCACCCTGCGTCCGTGGGCGGGATGGCTTCGGATCTACGACGTGGACTGTCTCAAGCTCGTATTCGAACCACAGTGCAAATGCCTTAGACGGTATGTCATAAGGTTCGCTTTCGGTCTCTTCTCATCTATCGTTTCGTGCTGATGAAAGAACTCAGATGCACTGCCATGACCTCGAATCAGTCGCCAGATCCGTCCGCCGACATATGCTATACTGCCTACCCTTCCGTGAAGTGCTCAGTGGAGGTTTGCTCAAGGTCGCAGATACGTCCGATGTACGGCCTTTATGAGTCGGCGCATCTCAGCGAGCGGTCTCGGAGCGCGTGCATGCGCATTCAGCGGTGTCGTGTTATCCTCATGATGCGCTCAAGATAATCGTAATGTGGTGATCTTTCCGCGGCTGGAACATTCCTGGTATGTATCCTTGCGCGAAACTGTCACTTTAAGCATCATTTCTGACACACACCTGTATCACAGCAAGCTCCGGTGCCTCAAATCCACCTTCAAACGTTAATTAATACCTGTGTTGCCGTTCGGACGCAAGTAGACACGTCCCGAACGTCAAACCGTCCGTACTGGGAAGTGCAGACATCTCTGCCTGACTTCGTAACGATCGTCAGCGTTAAGTCAGGCCGATCTCCACCTCGGAGCAGATTGCATATATGGACAACTGCCGCTCGCTGTCGCGCTAATGTGCGCCCGCAACAGCCGCGCGTTTCAGCATGCTCCAGGTATCATCGCTTCCCATATAAATGCGCTACGGTCGGCCTCAGCAGATGACCATCACTCACCCACGTATTGATAACTACTAGACCATGGCAGTAAGCAGTCCCTCAACGATTATCCTGTCGCTCTGCTGACCTGCGTACTTAACAGTCATCAGACTCTACAGCATATACTGTGCGTCGGCCCCGTTCCTCTGGTTGTGTTGTCCATTAACACCATCCGTCATTTCTGCAGCAGGAGCACTTCAAACAGACACTGCAGGCACTGGTTGACGAGGATGACCGCCTGAAGCCGTTTTTTACTCTGTTGCAGGCAGTCGAAGAACCGGATGCTGATCACCGAGAAGACGTCTTGCGAGCCTTCACTGAGCTCCAGAACTCAAACGAAGCTGAGGGGCACGGTCCGAGCAAGAAGGCCGACGCCGAGACTGGGCTCCACGTCTTCGAGCTGCATCCATTTGCTGAAATGGTACAGCTAGGGCACGAGATCGAAGGCGAGGTCTTGCATGTTGTGCACGGCTTGAAGCCCCATGACAAGCAACCTAGCTTCAGCAACTGGGGAAAGACTGTGTCGTATGACCCCGGATATACACTGGTGATTCGCACGATCCGCGGTGTATGTGAAGTGGTGAAATGGGCGGCGAAGAAGGGGAAGAAGGTTCGCGTGGCTGGATTCCGCCACACTTGGGGGTAGGTCTTTCGTTCCACTTTGTCTTCCCGTGTCTAACTGGGTAACACGAAGCGAACTGTTCGGTGCCCAAGGCGACGTCATGATCATGTTCCTGCCCATCGAGAGCCTGACGAAACTCCCGTACAAGCAACCTCCATCTGACTGGAAGACGGAACTGTCTGGCATCGAGGTCGTCAAATCCGTCGCGGGCCGCGCCGCTCCGTCAGGTCATGCCTTCTGCAAGATCATGGCGGGGACCACGAATGACCAGCTGCGCGAATGGAGCTTCAACAACAAGACGTGGTCTATCCCGTTCAATGTCATCATGGTCGAGATCACGTTCGGTGGGAGCAACGCACCGATATGTCATGGCTCGGGCTTCTCGAGCACGACGCTCTCTGACCTCGTTGTGGAGATCACGTACGTCGACGCGCACGGCGAGCTACAGACTGTGAACGACCCCGACGAGCTCCGTGCTGCAAGTGGGTGCTTTGGCTTGCTTGGCGTCGTCGTCTCTATCACCTTGCAGCTCGACGCCATGGGAGTGGCTGAGCTAGTGCCCGTCCATACTCCGTTGCCTCTCGCGATCCCTCCGCCGAAGGGTTATGCCATTCCGAAGCAGGTACAAAGCATGATCGAGAAGTCCAAGATCACAGAGGCGCAACTCGAGGACGCGAGGACGGACTTCGTCCGGAGGTGCGAGGAGGACTACTACCTGGAATGGTTCTGGTTCCCGTACCAGGAACATGTCTGGATTAACACATGGAATAGTACGTCTCGCGTTCGTGGAATTATGCGGCGCAGTGAGCTCAATCTATAACAGAGTACCCCATGACCCCCAAGGACGGAAATCTGGATCCTTACCCTGGTGATAGTTGGTTCGATGGCGTGAAGTCTCAGGAGGTGCGCACATGATCTTCTCCGCTGGACATCTCGCTGATGCGCATTCAGCTACAATCGACTGCCGCAGAGGTTGTCACCAGCTTCTTCCTGTGGAAAGACGTCCCAGGCTACATGCAAGCATGGCTATTCGGAGTCGCATCGATGGCCGCGATGCCCAACATCACTGATCCGAAGAAAGCTATCAAGACCTACGTTAGCGAGGCTGTACATTTCAGGAGAGGAATCCGTAAGCACATCACATTCATCCGTAGTGACGCTCGCTCTAATGTTGTATACCGTTCACAAAGAGAACTTCCGGTGCTGGGATACGGAGTGGGAGGTCCCCGTCCCTTCGATACAAGGGAAGAGAGACTACGATGCTATCCAGCGCGCATGGTAAGTGTATGCTCCGTGTCTTCTGTCCATCCGATGCCGACATTGGCGCAGGTGGGATGGGATCTCCGCAATGTACAGTCAAGCACACGATGCGCCGGCTCGCATTGCGCTGGAGATGCGACTAACAGGTGCCTCCGACGTTATCCTCGCGCCTCAACGAACGAACGCGCTTGGTACGGTGTCGATCGAGGTGCTGACCACTCTAGCAACGCCCAAAGACATGTGGGCCGACTTCATGCAGCTCGTCGCGGACAAGTGGACTGGTTATGACTCGAAGGGTGCAGATGACCGCCGGCTTCTCCCTCGGCCGCATTGGGCGAAACAGTGGGATGGATTGCAGGTCCGCGGCAAGCCTGTCGTGCAGTACTTGAAGGAAGATGCATACGGTGAGGCATTTGTGGAATTTAGGGATACCTTCCAGCGAATAGTCACCACTCGAGGTTGCTCGGTGGGAGAGACTCGCTCTCGCTTTGGCAATGCGCTGATGGACAGCTTGGTCTTCGGTCCTGTCTAGATCGTAGTATGTACAGTATGTCTTCGTGCATGACTAACATCATACGAGCCTTCTGCTCTACTCTATTTAGTATGTGTAATTTGATTACTGTTGTGACAGCGATGGACGACCTCGGATGCGTGTGATCCTACGTTCACCTTATGCTTTTGTCAAGTGCTTTGGCATCGACATCTTTGCTGCGAGTTCACACTCAGACGAGATTTAAGGAAATCGCTGCATATGACTTCGAAAGGGGATGTCTGCGCCGCACGCCAACTGTACCATGTACATACGACCGAATGCTTGCCAGTGGGTGGCTACTGTACAGAATGACTCCCGTAGGAAAGCCCCTCTCGAACTCGAGACTTCAAGGTAGACAACGTGGCTCCGACGTTTGAATCCGTTGGGGCTACGTAGCCGCAGTTGATACCCGAATACATCTTGAGCAGTCCGTACGCATGTAGAGATTCGTGCGCGTGTGCGACCCCGCTTGCTATTTGAGTGCATCCGCCTCCAGATTCCCGACACCAATCGGGCGTTCGTCGTCGTCGCCAATTGCAACTTCTGCCATCTCGACGTCCTCTTCATCTTCGAAGGTCTCCAGAGTCGGAGATTCGTCCGTGTCCATGCCGGATGTGGTGCGAGGCACGAAGAAGACGTCTGACATCTGAGTAGGGAGGTCCGCTCCCGTGCTGTGACCGGAAGTACTCAGTGACCGGATGGCGGCGTCGGAGTATGCCACCTGACGAAGATTGATGAGTAGCCGCGACAGCAAGATGAGGGATAGACTGAGGGATCCACGTCAGTCGCAATGTCAACAGGGCGCGATGCAATGAAGCCACGGACGGGAAGATCAAGCTTGTGAAGAATTGTATTCGCTGGTAAGAATACGGTCAGCCCGCAAGAATGATGAGTGACGGTAAAGTCACGTACATCGAACCACCAAAGGAGGATGTCGATGAGGTTGAGGACGAGAATCACACTGCAGAGGCATATCAGATATACCGGCAGACTCGGCCATGTGACTGAACGCACGAGAAGTACAGTGTGCCTGTAAAGTGCCACAATGAGATCGTGGACTACATGCACGAGTTTCGACCACTTACCGTCTCGCAGCAGATACCAGGAGACAGAGCTGGTCAGAAACCCGCTCTTTGCACTGAATCTTGCCGATTGGAACAGATTGAACCACGTAGCGGACACGACGAGTATATCGGAAAGAATGACACCAAGACGGCTGGCCAGAGCAACTGTGGTTTTAAGTTGACTTGTCAGTATAAAACATGAATTCGTTGAAGGACCACGGTACCTCTGAAATTAACCGTCATTCAACATCAGCAAAGCGGTATGTGACGAGATACTCACTTATTCGCCGAGTGGGGAGATATAGTGGACAGAACAGCACAAACGGTTGTTGTCGGCACCGATTTGACTAGGTAGTATGCGGTAGTTAATAAGTACTACAGGGGCCGTGGTAAGCTATTGCGAATGAACGTGATGGATTACACATACTCACAATGTTAATGAGTACTGGCAGTAGACCCAATGTGAGGGTCAACAGTGAGAGGAGCCAGTTACGCTCCGTCACGGCAAAGACACGAATAGCGGATATAACTTGAAACTAACGTCATTACAAGCGAGAACCCCCATACAAGCCACCTTTACCTGCGATCATGGTGTAACCGAGCAAAGTGAGCGTTGCATTCCAGATACTGTATGACTTGCAGCTGGTGAATGGCGTATTATTACGAGACATGCGCACTTGAACTGTTCGCCTCACCCTGTCAACTGTCAGACCTTGAGCAGAAGACCCTTTGGTGATAGCGATGCTACGTACGGTCACGGTTGCTTCCGGCACATAATTCCCTGCGATGCTCGTCGCTGCGATGGCTAGTAGGATAAGGCGGATTTGAAAGAGAATGAGGGCGGAAGCAGAGGATAGCTTGGTGTTCCAAAAGAGAGCGACTTCGTTTGAAAGAGTGAGGAGGTACTCATAAAGAGTGAGAGCTGTGGATGCATAACTCTGCATGAGTAACCTATGACGGGCAAAACGAGCTCATAGCTTGCCGAGTGCTGCCGATGCGAGACACTTAGCAACGAACCTAGTCATGATTCCAATTAGAATACAATCGACGGTCTGGAGGACTTGAACATACGCAGTATGAAGCTCAGCCGCGAGCAGCGCAAGCTCTGCTGCGGGTGCGCCGGGCGTGGTCGCGTTCATCCGTCGGCTGGATGGGCGAAGCTGGGTGCACCCAACGTTCGAGGCCGGAGATCCTCGCAGCGCTATGGATGGCGTCGACTTATAATCCAACTGATCTGAGAGAAGGACTGTCAGGGCGAACAACGGATGTGTTATGTACGGCATTCCCCATGATGGGGAAAACGCCACGGCCCCCACCAGCCGCATCAGGGATGCCGTAAAAGGTCAAGTCCTGCCTTCAGCCCGCTTACCACAGCACGTGCAGCGCAGTCGCATCCTACGAAACATCGGACCGGTGATGGAAACGAACCGCGGGAATGCAGCACAAGTGAAACTACACAGCGGGCAATACGCGCAGACATGATGCTATGGGCCTTGATGTTCCAGCCTATCCAGCTTGTATCCAGCCTTGCCTTCGCAGGAATTACCGGGCGGAGGATACGTTGAGGTATGTTTGACACCGTGCGAGCTGATCGAATACATACACACCTTTCCTCTTTCGACAGCCCCACCGTTGTAAGTCAATTCACGCGTACCATTGCAATCCGCACAAAATGTAAGGGACTGAGACGTGCGGCATGTTGTGCAGTTAGCTATGAGTATCAACTGAATTTGAAAGGAGGAAGGCAAGCGGCCGGAGTGAGCAGCCTTCCTGGGTTTGCGTCTTCGACTCTCGGCCAAGAGGGAACTGGCATGACGATGTCCACTTTTCTGTGTCAATGCCCCTGCGTCGTCGTATCAAAACGTGGGCATGCTTACCAATACAACATACTTATCTCTATACTTGTATAATGATAATCCAGCACTGGCAGTCCCGAATTTCGATGTCGTAGCCGTGCAGTGACGTGTGGCGACTGGATCCTCCTACTCTGGGTCGACGCCGTCGAGACAAAGTTCCTTCAATTGGGGGAACTTGGACGATGTGTCCCTGTTCGTGTGATGATTGCGAGCTACGTGAGTGAAATCAACGTCCCGTCGTATTCATTGTTCTTTAATTGACAAGCCCTGCAGCACAGTCGGTCCAATAATCAATAACTAGAGAACAGTTGTGTGCATTACGGCCCGTGTCAGAGAATGGATTCTGCCAGTGAATGGATCTGCTCAAGATGACGCGCGGGATACCATCAAACCTAAATTTAACAGTGATCGATGATATAATCATGATCAGTGATGCATATGGTTCAACGTTCAAACGTTCAATATCAATTCTTGCCTAGTCCCTCGTCGGACCATGATTCTGTGACTTGTCAAATGATCGAGACTCGATGCACCGCACGTTCATGAGGAGAAGGCTAGGAGGCATGTAACTATTCACTGAGAGTCCCGCGCAGGTCTCCCGAGTAAGTAGACACAATCTCCAGCCTCCAGGGCGCACTACGGCTTATAGTAGATCTATCCGGCGATGGAACCCCGTTCAGCCTAGCCTGCCAAAACGATCGGCAAGAGGAGCCAAAGAGGAGGAGCATTCCTAGAGTGTATCACTGGGTGCATCACTGATCAGGTCAACCTGGTGAGACCTGGTGAGACATGCGGGAGACTCGCAGCGACGGTCCTTCCTACTTGGGTACATGAAGCCGCGTTGAGCGAGTCGTCTGTCGATCCTGACTATCCGCTGCGATGTCAATGGCAGAGGCTGCCATTTATGCACAAGAGGCGTACGTATCTTGCAGCATGCGCACCGTTTCGATTCTGACAAACATTGTCATTGGTTAGATTCACGTCGTCTTGTGTCGACGTTGCATCCAACGGTTCGTGCTACAGCTGAGCGGACGTACGATGTGCAAGTGATAGACTCGTGGACAATCCCTGCAGCGCTCCTGCTATATGAATACATTACCACGTCAGACAGCGAAATCTCACTGTTCTGGGTCAGAAAATGGCCTGCCTCAATTGTGTTTTTCCTCGTACGCTTCTTGATGCTGGCGACAGCACTTTTTGGCCTAGCCACGATGGCGTCTGCAGAAATCACGAATGTACGTCTCAATCAGTCACTACGCGCCACGAAGCACACGACTCAGATCCTTTGTAGCTCAGCAGGTAGGCTAATAGTCGCTTTTCCATCCGACCTTGAACGAGCATCATGCAGCTGCATGGCATCGATAATATTCTCCATGTTTATCCAGTTCACCAGTTTGGCGATGATCGCGGGTGAGCAGCATGATGAATCACCATTGCCAACAACTCGTCATGAAGCTCCGCCTCCAGTGGTCTCAGCCATGCGAGTCTATGCTGTAAACGGCCATCGATGGCTGGCTGCAGCTTTCACACTCATTGTCGGTGCGGCACCCGTCGGTGTCAACGTGGTTTGTGTCTAAATCGCGAGTCGAACCTCCTGTGCTTATCGTGCTTACAGTATGCTGCAAGCCAAGCCTCGATCTACCTCACGGACGGAATATGCTCATACCATACAATGACAACCAGCAGAGAGGGGTTCATGTATGTATGGCATATGTGGCGGCTTGCGACTCTCCTGCTCATGAACCCTGTCCGACAGCTGTTGTTATCTCTTCCCTGTCAGACCAGCAGCATACTAATATATCTGGCATTCAGTTGCTCTCCTGTCTCGTCTATGTACCATCACTAGGGGAGCTCAGACTGAACGGGCAAGGGTACGGGTACGGGCAAGGGTAGGTCACGGGGACGGTCCGGCCGCGCGGCAACCGTAGGGTTAGCAGTAGGGGCTGCCACGTAACGTTAGGATTTGTGCCTGTTTGTGCAGCGGTAATTGAACAATACTTTGGTCCCGACAAGGTATATAGAGCACGTACATCCGTTTAGGTAGCATCATAGGAGGCAGCTGGATCGTCATCGCAACATCCTCTAATACTTCGAAAACATATACCTAAGTAGGAGAGTACGTGTTTCTGCTTTCGGAAATGTTATGTTACCCGATTAGTATATTCCGCTTTCGGCAGGCGCTGGCACTTTCCCGCACTCGAGTTCAGCTGTAGTAGGCTATATTAGGTGCATCGTGCGTACATTATTTACGAGCCATGTTGATTGTCATCAAAATGATTTTTCTCTTTGTTAGCCTGTGACTGGGAACCATACTGATTGTACTATCGAAATACTGTCTGTAACAAAGAGCAGTGGCGTAGAAGCTCGAAGAACTAGGCTAGGGTTAACGGTGGCAGCATCTACGCTAATTGTGGCTAACCCTACAGTCGCCGTGCGGCCGGACCGTCCCGTGACGTGCCCTTGCCCGTACCCGTACCCTTGCCCGTTCAGTCTGAGCTCCCCTACTTGTGATATCATCGTCGTCACTACCATCTGGGTCGAGACATACGGACTAATGAAGACCCACGTACGACCGCGCTCGTACAGGCAATCGTTGATATGGTATCTCCTAAGAGATGGTACGAAAATCTCACCACTTACATGTATACTCGCCTTCTGACATAGGTGTTAATCAGGAACTATATATTTCATGTAAGTACAGGACCCACACGGAGGATATCCGCGTTGATCATCTCCGACAGCCTCATGTTGGTACTCAACATTGTCGACATCTGCCTCGTGTACTTCGACGTTCGTCCTTCTCCTTTCTCTCTGCGCTCTTTCAAATGCTCATGGGAGACGCACAGGACGAAGTCGACTTTATTCACAGCATCATTCTCCCGTGAGCTCCGCGCATACCCCCGCCAAATAGGCGCATATTGACTACTGACCCGCAGGTTCTCGCTGATCCTCATATCCCGGCTCCTGATCAATCTCCGCGAAGTCGCGTACCGCAGAGACATGGATCGTACGACTTTGTCAACATCCTCCTTCGAGATAGAGACGCCATTCGAGATATCCACCGTCTTCTTCGATCCAGCTGTGGAAATACCGGAGGAATGCTTTCGCGATGAGGGCGCGGACGAAATCGAGATGATACACAGGCTCAGGGAAGTATGAGTTGCCAACGAACGATCGTCAACTGTAGCTATATGTTGCGTCACGCGGAGTATGCAAGTGCGTTGTTTTCAGCGACCAGGAACTTATCCTCGACTGGGGTCATTGTTCGCCGGTGGCGTCTCTAGTCGTCTCCCCGAGTAATGTTAATCGACAGTAAGTGCCAAAATCAGGTTGTGGAATACATATAGAGACGATGCTTGAGCCCGGTAATGATTACCTGTCTAATATCATTCCGAAGGGCAGCATTATTGCTTCGAAGGCGACCGTGGCCGCGTGGGTAAGTGTCGATTCAACATGCTACTGTTCACTTCATCTTCTTGTTCTACTTTGATGTCCGTCGCGTGTTTCCTAGGCTCTCACATGCACACCTCGCAGACACTCACGATCAACACCTATGTAGGGGCTCGACAATTTCATCGCCAGGATCATCCTTCCGTAAGCTGCTGCCTCGCTCGAAGCAACTGACCGGTCCCATCAACCACGGCAGGTTCACCCTGATCCTCATGTCGCGCTCCTCATCAACTTGCGCGAAGCCGCACATCGTGACGTCAACCTCACATCGGCGAGCTCGCCGTATTTTTGATCCGAGATCCCGTCCGAATTAACGAGTATCGACTTCAACTCGGGCAGACAGCGGGCCAGGGAATTGAATTAGACGCCCAACTTATACAGGAAGTCCCCTGCATCAATGACGTCGAGGGGGTTCAGACGGTTTGTACAGCATAGTAGGAAATCGAAGGCGGATGGTGTAAATTCTGGTTTGAATCTTGTATAACACACGACTGGGAAGCTGAGCACATGATGAACCTGGTTAGTGCGAGCAAACTCGATGTGGCAGACTGAAGCATTCTCCTGACTGGGAGGCGAAGAGAAAGAGGAGAGCAATGTACGAATCTTTCGGAGTGCGCACCTCATGTGTGCAGCGGCTGACACTGGCACTTGATGGCGATGGGCGTCCGACGTATGAGTCACATCCCCTTGATGAGGCTTGCACGAAGGTGGCTGACACGACAGTGGGTGAATCGGCGGTGCGATGAACGTACACTTGATTCTTGTACCAGACTGTCAAAAACATTCCTAGAGAAGGCGGCTGTTCCTCCGAAAGCGAGAAATAAGAAGGTAAGTCATGATAGTGAGCGTTCGTCGCTGCTGCTTTCTAACATCGCTACTGCAGCAATTTCTTTCTTGCCTGGCAACATGAACACGAATCTGCAGGTGCAACCTCCGTCCGCCACACAAGCAAACAGACCAGGATCTGCAGAAACCGTGGAGACACAAGAAGACGTAGAAGCTCACCACAAGCACAATCAACTCTGCCGAGTCCTGACCCGCCTGGACCACGAAGACCTGAGTAGCGCAGAGAGGGTCTCCGCCGTGGTTGGACTATGGCTATCCATGACAATTCCCGGAGTGGGCACGTACGCGTTCAGCGGGTTTCTCGCCCTCACGCTCGGACAAGCCGTCTTGCGCGCGACCCATCCGGGAGACCCGAGTTATGCCACCAACATTCGGTCTACGATGCAGATCGGCGCGGTCGGCAGCGGCGTACTTGGTGTCGCAATTTGGACCGTCATCCTCATGGCTCTGCTCCTCGCGACCCTTGCCAGGAAGGTCAAAACCTTCGCAAACATGATGAACATGTCGACATCCATACGAAAAGACCTCGGATCCCTCGCTTTCTACACTGCGGTCGGGGCAGCCAGTGGCCCTCTGGGAGTCGCCATACTGAAGCACCATAGGAGTGCGAGCGAGCGAGCGGACATGTTGGACGTGAGCCATGCAGCTAAGGCAGGGGCGTTCGGGTGGTTTCTCCTCGCAGTGTCGTGGTTGCTTAATCACCAGTCGAACATGTTGAAGAGCAGAGAGTCGGAGCGTTGACGATCTGGTGTACAAGTTGTGTAAAGTGTATGCGGCATATTGTAGTGCGGGAAGAGGCAACGAAGAGATTACTTATGTAAGTCGACTCGACCGACTGACTGAGGAGGAGGAGGAGGAGGAGGAGGAGGGGGTCCAGCCACCGACCCACAACACGCACGGGCGCCATCGGCGGTATTGAGTTGGTCGGCCTTTGCCGGAGCTCCTCGAGCCAGCCTGCACTTGGGAACGCGTACCTCGACATCTCATCCAAATTCCAGTGCATTTGGCTTCCAGCGAGTAGCAATTGTGACGGGCGGAGCTCTCGCTACTCGTGTGCAGCTGAATGTCGTTTGGGCAACTTCGATCGACTCGGAAATCCGACTTCCCGAGTGCAACGTCTTGGCAACGTCACGGATCAACCAACGTTCAACGTTCAACTGTGGTACGCCCTTTCTTGAGTTCACACATTCAGCTATTTGATGATTGTTCAGCTTGGGAGAAACCTCAGTGGCTGTTGGACCACGCGCGGTCTCAGCAAGCTTGGTTATGGCGAGTTAATCAGCACTGAGTGGACGACAAAACGTGCAACGACTTTGAACGAACCTGCCTCTAAACTCAGTAGCAGGAAGATCCCAGTGTCAGAGCCGGAGGGGTATTCTTACAAGCTATGGTCAGGACGCGAATTGCGCGATGGAGCCAACTGCGGGGATATCCGGTAAACCATGTCTTGTTGAATATGGACGGCTCTGGAGTCTGGACCGCGATACGCGCGAATCCGTCGGACCGTAAGCACCTCATTTTCATCTCCTGATGAAAACTCCGTGCATACTTTGCTAGGCAATACGTACATGCATACAAACGAATATGTCATCGATTTTGTGGACTGACAGCTTCTACCTGCAGTTGGCTTGGCCAGGTAGCTACGGAAGTAATGCACCATGTGCCCAAGAAACTCACAACTCAATATTCCCTCCAGGCGGTACCTATACGGTGTGTCTTCAATTTGTCGGTGTCCGTGTCATTTCTCGTATGCAAGTCGACCGTTGTTGGCGTCAATGGTGGTTGAAGGCGCTGTTCATACATCCTGAAGCGTGTGGACGGAAGTCGGAGGAGGTATGTGTCATTCAATCATCCATGCAATCGGTCGCTTACATCCTAAGTACTGTGGTAGAGATCCGACTGTAAACATGGGTCGCTGTACGGCAAATGTGGCAGGCGCCTGCCAGCCTCATGCGAGGCAATGCATGCGGTGGTTCTTCCCGTCGCCAATATGAACACCCATGCTGCCTGAATGCGTAAGTGTTATTGAGCTGCAGTGCCCGTAGCGCTACCTCTGAATATGCGCCCATCCACACAACAGCTTCCCTGGCTATCGTATTCTCACGGCATATCTTGTATTCATGTACTATGAAGGTGCGGATATGATTCGACTGCTGGTAACCTGATTGATGGTGGACCGCCAGTGATCGAACTGGTAGGAGCCGTAATTGATACGCACTCAATTGACTCGGGTGTCATTTCAGGCTGTGTTTGAGTACGTGTCTGTATACTCCAGGCTGCGGTTCTCTAACAATTTTTGTGTGAACTTAAGACACATCGTATGCTGCGCGCCGCTTTTAGGACTCAATGAAGGGCATAAAAGGTCGTTACTGAGAATACCTCCGGTCAATCGCCATCCGGTTTGTGACTACTTTGTCATTCTCTAGAGGGACACCAATTCTTCCATGTCTGCATCCACGGCCGAAGCGATCGCCAATGTACAGGTTGGGTCGGTGCTATATCTCACTGTTCTATCCTGAGACCGTTACTGAGCTCGCTTTATCATGTACAGCTTAGTACAGGGTTATGTCGGTATTGCGTGCACAGGTCTGTCTGAAAGTGAAGTAGTTTTGCTATAGATCGCTCAATGCGATCGCAGTATTCCCCATCTATGATTATCTGCTTACTTTGGGCAGCGACATGACTCTCTTGTGGCCGCAGCGTGCACCGTCTGGGATGACCACGCTCATGGCCTTGATACGATTCACCACGATTGGCATGTCAATTACCCAGTCGGTGTACATTTTGTGCGACTTACCGGTACGTCACTACATTCTTCTGCATATTTGTACTACTCTTTGACTATGTTCCATAGACTTTGGAAGAGTCAGTCACTCATGGCCATTCATTGGACCGTCATCTCCATGACTTATATGATGTGCAGTTGCCGCGATACCTACGTCAGCTCCGCAGTATTCAGTCTGCTCCCGAATATACTGGACGCAGGTCAGTCTGTTTTCCCAAGACTCCGTGTTCGCCTTATATGCTGAAATCGTACTACTGACGTCATCAGTGATTTCGGCAATTCGTGCATACGCAGTCAGCAACCGTAGCTTGGTGTGGGCTGCAATAGTGTTCGCGACTAGCATATTCGTGGTAACCTTCGATGCGGTAGGCAGAATTTGACGGACTTCAAGTTGGAGGGTGACGGACTGACATACACCTGCAGTACGCCACAGCGAAAAATCGATATCAGTCAGTCGACATCGATGGTACCTGGAGCTGCTATATCATTATCCACTTCGCAGGCAGCACGGCTGAAAAGTGAGTATTTGCCACTAGACGATCACATACCTTCATTGATTGTATGCGTGGAAGAGGTGACCTCTTGTAAAAAATCGACTCCATCTCAAGCAGGCTTGCTGACCTTCCGTCGTAGTGGGGCCTGTGGGGCTTGTTAGTTTGATTTTCAATATACTCTCGCAAGCTATTGTCGTCGGTCTCACTTGGTCAAGGATGCTATTTCTTGTACGACGGCCTGGAAAGGGACAGGCTCGAGTCAACCCAAGGTCGTTCAGTATCTCATGGTTTCTTCTTCGAGACGGTGCGGGAAATTCATATTCTACTTCTTCACCGAACGGCTGATATTGAGTTGCTCCTAGGCACTGTCTATTTCATGCACGTCCTACTCTGCCCATCTACACATGCTATATCCTTATCTACTTCGTTGCCAGAGCAATGCTGCTTCTGCGCCTCGTCAACTGTGTACTGTTGTATCTTACGGTGCGATCATGTGGCTATCCGTCATGGATTTACATCCTCATCATCCTTACATCAGGATATGCTTTTCTTCAGCACATTGTCCCAATCGTGCGCATTCCCTTCCTTCCTAACGGAGTCCCTTACACTCATTGCGGATCTCAAAGGATGCAGATAGTCTTACTGTCACGGCTCCTGCTCAACCTCCGGCAAGCCTCTATCAGAGATGTCAATCCGGACGAATCAGGCTTCACTATTTCCCATATACTAGGTGACCTCACCCACGTATCGAGCATCGCCTTCGAACCCCGACCTGGTGCGGCGGCGGCTGCACACGCTACCCGCGGTGACACCGAAGAATACGAAATGGACGCGAGGTACGATCTAGGCAATGACGCCGACGATACAGATCAGGCGAATGTCTATGGCGATATGGATATTCAGGAAGAGCAACGGTAGAATGGGTAGCTCCTGCATCCTCTTCGCTCTATATGCACATTCTGAATTTTATACGGTACGGGTGTGGGCAAGGTGTGGGGTCTGTCTGTTGCCGCTTCAAGATCAATGCCGAAAGTATTTATTACTTCTGCTTTAAGCCCTGTGGCTCGGCGCGATGCCCCACGGGTCACTTACGAACTGACAATAAACGTCATGGGCTCGGACAGATGGCCGAACCTCCCGGGCATAGTCCACTCAGCCTACTTAGGTCCGTCTATGCGTCAGTGTTCAACGTTCAACACTTCGAAGTCGTCCTTGACCTGCTAGCATAGGGTGAAGAAATCGTTTCTTGTTCGACGCGGTGGACTAGCGGTAGGTGAATGGTTGTTCAACGTGACGATAGACTGAACCGTTGTGCTCCCAGATTGTTTATTCGGTCCCAGAGCGCGCACAATGACTGACTGTTTGCATCTCGCGTAGCCCCCGGGGTCCTTTCCACAGTAATATCGCTCTTTGCTTCGTCATCTCCGATGAAGTCGGGACTCCCCACATGTTTCGCGCTGACCCAGCGTGTCTACTAGGGGTGTTAGTGGTGCGCCAGCCATCGAGGAGATATAAAACCACGCTATAACAGGTTCGAATCAATTGCGATCATCCGACGACACGCTATGGCTGCATACTCGAGCACGAAAGTCATTCTCGTCATTGGTGGCACCGGGGCGCAGGGGCTCGCCATCGTCGACAAGTTGCTCGCGCCCGCTGAAGATGGATCTCCATCGCCGTACTGCGTACGGGTACTTACCCGCGACCCACAAAGCAAGCGAGCCCAGGAGCTCGCCTCAAAGGGAGTCGAGCTCTTCAAAGGTCGGATCCAGTGATTCATCTATGCTTCTTGATAGTGAGTCGCTGATCAGCCGCACAGGAGCCTTCGACGATTTCGATTCTGTCGCTGAGGCTCTGAAGGGGTGCTACGGTGCCTTCGTCAACACGGACGGATTCACCGTCGGGCAGGCGAAGGAAGTCTGGTGCGGCATTCATATATACGAACTGGCGCGATACGCGAAGATCAAACACTACGTCTGGAGCAACTTAGACTATTTCTCGAGGGTACGGTCTCATTGTGCTACCCACGCCTCGACACGAAGCTTACTTGAGAGCGTCTAACAGATCACGAACTTCGATCCGAAGTATAGGTGTGAGCACTCCGATGGGAAGGGGATCGTTGGCGACTTCATGCAGGCCCAGCCGTCTGTCGTGAGCGACACAGACATGTCCTGGACGCTCATCACGTCCGGGCCGTACATGGAGATGCTGCAGCACGTAAGTTTGACACTTCTTGTTACACAAGCTTCAGTGCTGACGGACTTGCCCAGGCGATGTTCGGCCCAGTCAAGCAGCGCGAGGACGGGACCGTCGTATTCGTCACGCCCATCGGAAAGGGGCACGTCAACATGATCGCCCTGGACGACTTCGGCTTCTTCGCCCGGTACACGTTCGACCACCGCGAGGCGACGTCCGGGCACGACCTGCAGATCTCCAGCGACAAGGTCGACTGGGAGTACCTCCGCACGACGTTCGAGAAGGTGACGGGCAAGCGCGCGGAGGTGCTATACCAGTCCTACGACGACTGGGTGAGGATCCTCGACGGCGTCGACGTCCCGCTCGCGAACGAGCGCGGGCGGACGAGGGACGGGTCGATCACGTGGAAGGAGAACTTCCGTGCGTGGTGGGCGAACTGGCGGGACGTCACTATCAGCAGGGACTACGAGTTGCTGCGGAAGGTCAATCCGAAGGGACACACCCTTGAGAGTTGGATGCGGAAAGAGGGGTATGGGAAGGATCTGTGGGCGAAGGTATCTTTCCTGAAGAACGCCGAGGATAAGAAGGCTCCGTGGATGAACTTTGAATACGTTGCTACATTGTGACTTGAGCGTGCTTGAGCGTGCTTATATAGGTTGACCAAGAGACCGTGAGTCGACTGACTATCCGGATTGAACCACTTTTCAGAGGGGCTTGGGTCTAAGTACGGCATCAGCGCTTACGTTGAGTATCTGTCCCGTTGGCCGGACCCGTGTTCAGTAGAAGAGTTCCTCAACGGGCATTTGATGGGCTATAGTACGTCCACTTCTCTCTCTTGCCCGACAAAATCATGTCTACCCAGCATACGTACAGTATTGTGTACGGCGATCATGATCGTCGCCGACTCTTGTCTGAAATCAGCATGTAACTGACACAGAGACGGGAGCAGCAGCATCGCGCATGATGTATTCCACGAGCCTATTAGCGGCTGCGGAAGATCAATACTTGAGAATCGAATGTGGAAAGAGGAGTAGTGCGGCCTACTGGAAGGACATGTGAGCGAAGGTGCGTTTCCTGAATAACACCGAGGATAAGCTTAAGTCACCGTGGATGAATTTTGAATGCATTGCTACATTGCGACTCGGACATGGTTAGAGATCGTTTGACGAACGCGTGACAATACAAATTTGAACTCGGTACACAACTGCTGTACAACTCTTTCTCTCCCCGCCCTGTTCAGAGAGCGACAGGGAAGTCCGTTGTCTCGATCTTCTCCGGGAACCTGAGACCGCCCTGCTTCCTGACCTCGTCCATGACCTCCATGATGACCACGCTCTCCTCCCAGCTCAGCAGCGGACTCTCCTTTCGACCTTCGATGAGGGCATACGCAACCTCGTCCGCCTCCCAGAACATACCCTGGCCCTCGCCCTCAGGCTGGATACCGTCGCCGAACCCGTTAAACCAACCAGAGCCCTTCCCAGGGCCGGGCTGCGGCCACTCCTTGTCCTCAACGGTGCCATCGCGGAGGATCAGGCGCGTCTTCGTCGGGCGGTACAGCGGCGGGAAGATCTGGATCTCGCCCTTGTCGCCGTGGACGCGGCACGCCGGGCCTCCGGAGAGGTCGCCGAGCGGGTCAGACGAGTATCGGATGCTCGTCGTCGCGATGGCGTGCACGTCCTTGTTCCCCGGGCGAGGGAAGACGAGCAGCATGCTCGAGAGCTCGTCCGCGGCGCCCGTTGGCTCGTAGATCTTGAGCGCGGACGTGACGGAGGGCGCCTTGCGCTCGGCGGGCGGGAGCGTCGTGTAGACAGTCTGGAAGAGCCAGGTAAGGGCGTAGATACCGCAGTCAAGCAGGGCGCCGCCAGCGAGATCAGGGTTGACCATGCGGTGCTTGCCATCGGCCATCGTCTCCTCGGGGTCGAGGCTGATACTGTTGTCTGAGGAGACGAGCTGGATGTTCCCCAGCTTGCCGGAGGTGATGATGTCGCGGACATAGTATGAGAGGGGGAAGTAACGTGTCCATACGGCCTCCATGAGGAACAGGTTCTGTGTGACATAAGTATCGCGGTGCCTAACATACGGAGACAATGTAGGACGAACCTTCTCCTTCGCCTTCTCAGCCAGCTTCTTCGCCTGCGCGGCGTTCACGGTGAAGGCCTTCTCGACGAGCGCGTTCTTGCCGGCTTCGAGACACAGCATTGTGTTCTGATAATGGTGCGAATGAGGCGTCGAGACGTAGACAACGTCAATCTCGGGGTCCTTCACGAGCTCCTCATAGGAGCCATACGCGCGGGCGGTCGAGGGTGCCCCGACCTCCTTGAGAAACTGCACAGCACGCTCCTTTCCGGAGGAACTTGCAGCGGCGACGATGGTGTGCTGGATCGAAGTTACGCCGCGGGTCTTGGGGTCGAGGAGGAGGTCCTTGCTGAAAGTCTGCGCAATGCCACCGGTGGCGAGGATGCCCCAGCGGATCACCTTGGGCGTGGACATGTTGGCGATGAGCTACAGCACTGTGAATTCGAAGGAGACGGTAGGAGTATAAATACCCAGCGTTCAAACGTTCACGGCTGCAACGTCAGCTTGCATAATAAGATTCGATGACGCCGCACGGCGAGCCGGCGGAGTGAAGCACGTCGTCGAAATCCCATTTGTTTCCTGGTCCTGCGCACGTCGAGCTACCTTTACCTGCGGCTAGCACCATGATCCTGCGCTGGATGCGATGGATACGAGTAGTCACACTCAATGAGATTGTAGAGGCCAGGATGGTGGTAGTCGACGTCGACAGACCAACGGCGACAACGCTGGCACGCTCGGAGCACCCGGTCCGCAGCTCGCGATGTGGCGCAGGAGCGCCCTAGAGTCAAGTGCTCCCAACTTTGCGCTGAACGTGAACCACGACCACCGCTGTTCGTACTCAGCCTCCGAGGTATACTCAGGATTATCCCGCATTACGGCGTGGAGTCTTGAGGTCAATCACTCTTACTCTGGCATGGTGGGATGGTGCGTGGAACTGTACCAGTATACCACATTTTCTGAACTTCAAGTTTGAAGAACGGCAGTCAGGACTTGGTCAGTACCTTGCTTTCCAACAGTTCCTCGTCCCAAAAGCCACAGTGCTATAGCGCGTAAGCTCGTTACGTTTTCCAATTCATGGAACTTCCCGACGGGGGACCCGCCAGTCAATTGGACTCAAGGGACCAGTGGCACAGTCTTGGCCATGTCTTCCGAAGTACGTCTCTCCTTTTTTGCCCTTAAGTGGATGAACCTTATGAGTGGAAAGACGGAATTGCAGACACATGAAACAGTGGCATGATGGAATGGGCCCAGCTACGCTACGCTGTGAGACTCTACGTCACTTCAGCCATTTTCTGCGACTTCTTCGCCTTCATTTGTCCCACGAGAAGTTGACCACACGGGCAGCGCACCTAGGAGCTCCCGTGTGGTGCCCCGGACGATCCTACCCATGACATTCACCTGCCCGATGTGACGAGTCGTGGAGAGAAGTATTTCGCGAAGAGCTGGGGTGAGAAGCACTCGCGATCGTCCAACTTTGCGTCGAGCCTGGCCGCATCCTTTACTGCGAGCGTGACATGTGACCGTCGTTCCGCTACGTGCAGGATGATGATCTGTCTGTGATCCCGCTTGCACTGATCGTTCGACTCCTCAACTTCAGTCAAACCAATGTCTACCTCTCGAGAGGATCCTCTCAAATCTTCACTCTTTCCTGCGCCGTTACCAGCTGATATGATGTACTTGAGTTGCAGCTCAACCAGCTTTTCAGTCGAACGGATCTTCGGGACACGTATATGCGCCGCGATCTCCCTCACACCCGTGAGCAGGTTCTACCAGGTGCGAAGTGGATTACACGGCCCCTGCTTCATTATATTCCTTCTATCAGAGATACGGTTGTGCCGGAATGGATGGGATACGACCCGCTATAGCAATATTGCCAATCCTGCTGCACGATTTTCAGATGCACAACTCGGAGACTGGTTCCGTCTTATTTTCCGGGCTTGCGAGAATGGGAAATGGGACATATATATAGATCGAGGTGTGTCCTCCACCGTTGCGCGTAACACGTTGGTGACACTGCTCGTAGCACCGTTATTGCGACGCCATCGAAGTACGTCTCAGAAGTATAAACCCTACTGCCATTACTGATCCATGGTAGCGGTACACGAGTACGAGAAGCTGGGTATGTCGCTATTCTCGCAAGATAGTGAAGGCGTCACACTCACTATCCAACAGCCGTGCAAGAGGCTTGGGAGCAGCCATACAGGGGACAAGTCCAGGAGGGTCTTCGTATGAGAGTACGATCTGAGGATGGGGTGAAATATACGTGTCTTCGGTCTTCGTGACTGAGCCAGCTTCTTGATAGGTGCCTTATGAGCTAAACTTCGGAATGGCAAGATGGCCGAGCGGTCCAAGGCGTGTGACTCAAGCGAAAGCTTGCCTGCTCCTGCGGGTCTTCTCATCTGGGTATCCAGGCACGGGTTCGAATCCCGTTCTTGTCAACGTTTTGGCTTTCTGGCCGTCGGAGACCTTTCGCCTTGGCCACGCTCAAGTTTTCTGAGAAGGAGGGGATTGATGGCATTCAGAATTGCAGCGGTTCACGCTGCCAGTGCTTGCGGTCCCGGAGGCGGGGACGCGGGGCGCCGGGGATCGATGGATCTGCGGGATCTGCGGAGCGATCTCGGAAGATCGACGCGTGGCTAGGAGATAAGATGGAGGCGCCCGCCCCAGTCACGCCGAGGCCAAGGCGCGATGCTCCGAGTGCCCGTCCGCCACTCCCTCCCTCTTCCCTACCGCCAACGTCTCCCCCTCGGCACCATCCAGCGCAACCCACGTCCACTCTGCGCGAGGATGACCACTGCTGCGCCAGCAACCCACCCGGGCTTCGAGCCCATGCTCCTCGCCCTGCCCTCTCTGACGCCTTCGCTGGCGCTCGAGGTATGACTTGTGCATTCTGACCCGGGACGACCATCTCACGGCATTCCAGGTCCTGCCATATGGCTTGACATTGCACAGGCTCTTTGTCCAGGCAGACGGCAAGGTGAGAGCCCTCGATCACGCCCACGCCATCACGCCAACATGATCTACTCTTAGACACACGACATCCTCATCGGTCCCGAGACGCCCTCCGACCACCTCGTCCAGAAATACACCAACACCATCATCGGTCGCTACGCAAACCGCGTCCCCGCCGGCACCCACACCATCACGCGTAACGGCCTCTCGAGCTCCCTCACCGCCGCCTCCAACGAGTCCCCGACCGTCTCCCTCCACGGCGGAATCACAGGCTGGGACCTCCAGCCATGGGAGCCTCTCCCCGACCCGTACGCAGCGCAGCTGTTTACCCCTGCAGAGGTCACGCGCCTCCAGAGCGACGCGCCGACAAGCGTGATCTTCAGTCGTGTGAGCGAGGACGGCGAGGAGGGGTACCCGGGCAAGCTACTCTGTGAGGTGCTCGTGGGCTTGACGCAGCCTAAAGGGAAGCCGAGCGACGATGGGAAACTCTGGAAGCTCGGGAGCGTCGTGCTTGTGTACCGCGCGAAGCTGCTGGACGAGGGCAAGGTCACGCCGATCAACCTTACACAGGTGCGTTCCCGCAGTCTTCTCGTGTAACGCAATGCACATTGGATCTCACGTCTTGTGTACTGGTAGCACTGGGGCTTCAACCTCGATGCGTCCCTCCAACAGGGCCAGACGATCAAGGACCACAAGCTGACCATCAAGTCGGACAACACCGTCGCGCTCGGCCCCGACGCCAACTCAACGGGCACGCTGGCACCCGTCGGGGGCACGCACCACGCGCACGCCGAGAAGTCGACGCGCAAGATCGGGGAACGCTTCCCGGAGAACGGATATGGTGTGTCTGTTCACCCTGCACCACAGTTCGCAGCGACTCGTATGCGCGTTCGGACGATACTCATGCAAGGGCGCAGATGAGTTCTACCTGCTCGCACCGCGCAAGATCGTCGTGCCGGCGCGTCTCCCGGCTGCCGAGCTTACCCCGAAGACCGACCTCATCGCGCCCATCGAAGAGGACGCGGACGCGGTCGTCGAGCTCGAGAGCGGCAAGAGCGGGTTGAAGCTCGCGTTCTACACGAACCGTGAGTGGCTATATGCTCCTCGCGCGTAGAGAATATGACTGAGCGGGGATGTGGCGCAGAGTCCGGCGTGCAGTTCTACTCCAACAACTTCTCGAGCCCGGCTGCGACGGCGCGGAAGAAGATCCACGGCGGCAGTGGTGCTCAGGGCGATGGCTACGAGCCCGGCTGTACGTCCTTCCCCGTTCGCTCCGTCGATTCGTATCGTACTAACGCCAATCGTCTATTCTTCTCCGGCCCGCGATGTCCCTCGACGCCACCCCCGTATCTCCCATTCATCTCATCTCGACATGACACGCTATGTATGCGCGCGACAGCCGCCGCGTTCCTCGAGTTCCACGAGCCGCTCGCGGCTTGGCTCCACCCCGGGACGGTCGGCGCCTCGGGGAGCGACACGCTGCTCGCCTCCGGTGAGGTGTACAACAACTACGTGCGCTTGGACGTGCTCTACCGCAGCGAGGAGGCGCTGTGAGCCGTGAGGTATGACACGATCTAACCGAGAGAAGGTGGAGCTGAAGAAGAATGGCTGGGAGGGTTGTCGGTATGCTGAGGAGAGAAGGAAGGAAAGTCGAAGGCTGTGCACTAATCGCATCTTATCCACCCATCTGTACTAATCCCAAATCGCAATGTATCCGTTTGAAGCTTGCTTCTTCTCAGTAGCGCGTTGTGCGGTTGGTTTGGGCGGTTTGGGCGGTTTGGGCTCGCCGGGCGTCGTGCGGTGGCCTCGCGGTCGGCTGCTTCGGAGGCGAGGGAGGTTAGCTCGACGGGTTCTCATCTGGTTCCGCGAGTGAGGAGCGGTGGGAAGATATCGGTGAGCGCCTGATCGCTGACTGGAACCGTGTACAGTACCGACACCAACACTACTACAGATAATATGACACCTCGTATTCGACATTACGACGCGACATCGCGCACCTTTGTCGTCAGCAACCAAGGTGGGGCGGTACCATATATTGCAGCTAGTACAGGGTGGTTCCATAGCGGTAAGGTACTTGGCTATCGGGGTATCGCGAACACTGCTCATACTCGTGTGCACAGGGACGTAGGGTTCCACATACCAGCACTTGACTGTGTCTGGGTCTGGCGCACAGCCGTTCAGCTCCGTATATGTAGGGGCGTGCTGGAGACTTCAGTAATACTTCCAAGTCGAACGCTTCTGCAACGACTGACCCCGACAGTCTCCTCATTGGACTTACCTCCTACGAGCAACATCCCCGTCTACGATGCGTGGTGTCAAACTCTACGTACACTCGACAGCGGGCCATACTCGCCTTCCCATCGACCTAGAGGCAGGAGAGACGACGCCATGTCCTCCACAATACTCTGCACTTCCGATGGGCGAGCAATTACCATTGCTCGCGGTCCATGGAATGCCTAGACCTCACCCACCGACTCCTGTGGAGTGGTACGTGTGGGGTAATACCCCTCCGCCTTCGCCGGAATGGGGCTATCCTAATGCAACCAGCCCCCCTTCACCAGCATCCCCCTCCCCGACGGATGTACTGGTACCGGCGAAACCACACCACGCTTCCCGGAAGGCAGATTGGGGCACCGTCGTCAGCCTCGCCGCGGAGTACACCACCACAGGCATAGCCTATATCACCATCTGCTGCCTGTGGGAGAGCCTCTGCGTCCTCGTCGGCGGGGTCATTCTCTCCTCGCAGGAGCCCTACGCGACCCATTCGGACGGGATCGTCGACACGGGTGTGCTCGGCACGACAGTCATCGCAGCGGCGTGCTTTACGGCGAGCTGGGTGTTCCTCAAGCTCGAGGCGCGATACGAGATCGCGCGGGGCTTGGTACTCCAGGACGTGGTCCAGGGGGTGGAGATACCGGGGCTTGAGCTCGAGGAGCTCGTTTGGCCGCTGCAGCGGTATGGCGCGTCGGTCACTGAATTTGCGATCTTGATTGCAGTTCTTGGAGGAGGCATTTTTGGGTCAGCGTTGGGTACGTGGATGTCGGTCGGGAAGGGCGAGCTCGTGGAGGGCGGGATCAATGTGGTGCATGCGCTGAAGTGTGGTGCAGTAGGAACTGGAGGCGTCATCGTGATCATTGCCATTGTCTTTGGACTCTGCTCGTTGTATCCCTGGCACGTTTGGTGTTGTCTATGCTGTTACAACGAACAGAACAGGCTCGGACGTGTCTCGCACTAGTAACACACCAAGGGATGTCCCATACCCTCATCGCATGTGTATGCAAGGTTGTCGGTTTTGATGAGGATCTAAGATAATAGCGTAGTGAACGTCGGGTCTCGGATGTATGTTAGTCTGAAGGCAGAAGCAAGCATTGGCCCTGTCTCGGCGTCCAGGGGTTTCAGAGTGCAGCTGAACAAGGTACAATAGAAATTTGGCCCTTCTACCAAACCCGGGGACTATGCCTGCAGGAAGCCTACTAGTACGACTAGGGGTGCAGCATCAATGTGGCGGATGGCATTGCATGATTGAGAAGTAGAACGCCGCAGGGGAGTATACACCTGTATACCTGCGCGCCGAATAAGCGCGGTGGGTCCGTGTAGCCTCGTATCGCCCAAGTCGGCCGAAGCTGAGGATGACAAGGAAATGCCAGGTGATGATGCAGACAGCGAATGCACACGAATAGTCACGATCTATTGTTTTTGGCCTAGCGCGCTCCGGACACGATTCATCTTGTGGTTCTCGACTCGTACCGGCGGAGAACACATAAGATATTGGGGTCCGCCCAATTGTTGAGACACGAGAAGCTAGAACAATAGCGGTGGTCCAGTCGGCGACTAGGAGCGAGCGTATCTGCGTTGTGCACAGCCTATAAAGATTCGCATGAGCTGCGGGATCTCTGTTAGTAGAACCTGTACCAGCTGAGACACCCCGTCAACTAGTAAGTTACGACACCCCGCCAAATTGCCGTCGGATGATAATAACCATTTCCCCAGCACCTAGTATGCCCACTGCCAGCGAGCCAGCTGAGAAATCTCTGTCTGCCAGAGGCGGCGCAGCCAGACCTGCAATCATGACGGCGACGACAGAGAAGCAGCAGGACGTAGAGGCCCAACGTGACGAAGATGCAGATTCCTGCACAAGCTCCGGATGCAGTTGGACTTTCAAGTCTATGCTCGAATACCTGCAGTGTGGGGGACTGCTGTTGGGAGCTTTTGGTGTATTGCTGTATGATGCAGCAGTCATCGCGGGTATGTTCGCATTCATTGGCTTCGCCGGCCTTACTCTCGGCCACGGGGTCCTGAGTGCGATCTACCCTGGAGACTTGCGCTACGCGGCGAGCATTCGCTCCACGATGCAGGTCGGCGCGGTCGGAAGTGCCGTGCTCGGTGCAGCAATCGGCATCGTTTTCGTCTTCGTGCTGATTGTCGGAGACGTCGACGTCAAGAGCTTGAACGCTCCGGGAGCAAGACGGGTGACACTCGTGTTCTACACCGCTATCGGAGCCGCCAGCGGTGCTCTGGGCGTGGCGATACTGGAACACAACAAAGGTGTGATGGAGCGTGGAGATATGTTGAATCGAACGGGTGCGGCGAGGGCAGGGGCATTCGGATGGTTCCTTCTGGCAGTGTCAGTAGTTTTGAGCTCTGAGCTAGCGGCTATAGCGGCCCTGCTTACTTGAATACAATTGTTGCGAATTCGTGCATGGGTTCGAGAGTCAGGGTGAAGTCACCTGCAGACGCAGCTGCAGTAACAGCATGACTACTTACGTAGCACTGTACTAACTCACTTAGTATACTGTGAGTTCTTCGAAGAAGCACTTTGGAATCTTGGATGTACTGTAGGTCTGTACCAGTCGCCGGTAGTAGGCCGTACAGTATAAGTAACAATGTACCGTACAGGCGATACTACGCGCGCGTCGGCGTTTGCCGAGCGCCTTCCCCCAATCCTCAAAGTCGTCTCCTCTTCTGAGCCTCCTCCAACTCAAAGTGCTGAGTGCTTTTTCTTCACAGCACAGTAAGTACTCTGTCTTCCGGGATTGATGACGACGTCAACCGATACGTTTCTAGATCCTATGGACATTCCTACGCCATTGGAAGCCCAATACGATGAGTTCGAGTCGCAACTAAATCAATATCTCAGCTGACGGAGCTAAGCTTCGCGACAAGTATCTGACACGCCTGAACATATCCAAACATGTACGGAAATTGACATGCACTTTCTGCCACTTTATGCTCCTTCTGTCCGAGACACGATGGCACCGGCATGGATTCAGCACCATGACGACGCGCCTGACGTGGAGAACCCGGCTGAGCGGTTCACGGGCGAGGAGCTCGAAGAAGGGTTTTGCTCTTATGGCCTCTGCTTGCAAGCGTGGCAAATGGGTGAATTCATCAACAGAGGTACCGTCTTCTGGTATCGCTCCATGAGTCAGTCGGTGACATGTACACTTCCTACTTGGCAGCACCGCATATGCGACGAGACCCTGGTAGGTCCCAACCCCATTGTTCGTTGCCAAACTGATGGTAATGGTTACATATCACAGTTGTATCTGACTGCCAGAACCAGGATCACATGTGTCTGTGCTTCTTCCAGCGAGCAGCTCGATTGCCCGATCGAAGCTGTCCTGCCGATGGTCGAAGGTGGATGCGCGGAAAAAGGCAAGATCAACTTGATCTTGTTGAAAGCGGTCACTTCGAGCAACGGACAGCCAGCAGAAGATGTGTCCCGTGCTGTGAATCCCTACGTCCTCGATATCTGGGCTCCCGACTACACGCCGAAAAACCCGCTCGTCCGCATCGTGTTTGCCCTCGACGTGCCTTAGAGGGCTAGCTGCTTCCTTATCGCACGGAAGGAGAATGTCGGTGACCAGCAGAGAACGTTCGTCTCGTATGACATCTGGATCGCGGGCCTGTCTCCATCTTTTCTCAGCCTCATGAATTTCAATACGGAGCAGAATATGCAAGACATACTGTTCCTGGCAAGATCGCAGAAGGCCCGCCTTTTCCCGGACCCGCATCATGGCGATCTGGTGCCAATCATGTTGCGGCCATTCTCCTTGCGTCCTAGTGGTGGTACGTGGCATGAGCATTGGCGTAACTGGATGACTAGGGGTAGGTCTTATGGGTGCTGTCATATAAACCACAGAGGGCGTCGTGAAAGCATCAAGCCAAGGTGGAATGTCGCGAGGAGCATGGTTATGTTGACTGGCCTAGGGACGAAGGCCTCGATGGGCTCCCGTGGTTAGTCGCCGATGTGACAGCATTGGTTCGGCGTCGATGTGACAGCATTGGTTCGGCGTCGATGTTACAATCCGTGGTGTGGTTAGTGAACAGGACTATACCTAGGTATGTGGCGTTCGCGATTCTCATTGAACAGGGCTCACTGACTGACTATTGTCTCGTGGCGGCTCCGCCATAGCCCCTATACATGGAGTTTCCTTCACGACCAGTGGATAAAGCGATACTCCAAGATACTCCAAATCTTCTGTGGCGACTCCTGCAGTAGGACCTAACATACGGTTTGAAAGGCTTATCTGAAGCTTGTAGAACATCCTGGGAAAGGTACTCGAGACAGCGACGCGACCTCTGGCCCGCGATACGTTCAGCAAAAGGATCGACGTGTCTGTGGCCGTGCACGCACTCGATGACAAATCTGCTGTACACATTTTCTGTGGCCACACCGCAACCACACCGTCTACCGCCCATTGTGACAATACGTACGTGCTTTGACTCACGTCTTAGGGTGACCTATTGTTGCCCGCATGCAGATTGCTTGGATCCTCTTGGACCAACACAGTCGGTCGACTTGGCAAAGCGCGCAAACGGTTCGCTTTGACCAACGTCACTGGTTACCCCTCAATTTCACCGCATATGGCGCGTCGCAACGTGCATTCGTCGCTCGGATCCTGTGCACCTCGGCCTACAGAGGTATAAATACCCCTGCTTCATTCCCTCTGTCCTCCCATCAACACACCGAGAATGTCTTCGACGAAGCGCAAATCTACAATACGACAAACCGTGTCACCACCGGCCTCTCCGAATGGAGCAGTCTTTCCGTTATCATTCCTCCTAACCAGCACTTCCGCCCTGCACAGAGGGTCAGGAGCCTGCCAAGGTTCCTCCGCACGCTTACACCGACGGGCGTCGAATGACGCCCCGTCGACGTCGCCAAACAGAGACGGCGCTAGCCTCGCACGTAAGTGCTTTTTGGCCCCGATCTGTTGTGACTCCGTTTCTGACTTGGTGTACTACTACAGAGAGCCATTGAAGATGCCGTATGGAGTCTGTTGAAGCCGCAGAGCCATTGAAGATGCCGTACGCCATCTGTACGAGGCTGTGTACGAGGTCACGCGACAACTGCTGAACGGATGGGACAATCATTGTAGTACGTCTCATTCCTCCACTCGTTGACAGCACATTCTTATTTGTGGGTACTTCCTTCTGTTAGCCGATGAGCATGTAGAACAACCGCACTCTGAGCCTCGACGTTCGCGGCGATCGACTGCGGCGGCACAGAATCCATGATGACATCGAGGCGGCATTGTCACATCGAGGTCACTGCCCGACCATGGGGTTGCGGTAGGATGCTCTACGCGAGCATGGGATGTCCTTCCATCCTACATGTTGTCGTTTCGGGAGAGTGCTCCTGCGAGAGACCGTGTAGGTTGCAATGTATATCTTGTGATCATCGTCACACATGTGTGAAGCCGGGCAAGGACGTAGTCACCGTTCGCTGGGCATCAACGCGGCCGTGTTGTGATTGAAGCTGGCAAAGGCAGGGCCATGCCAGACCTCAAATTCAAACCTATCACCTTGTCTCATTTCCTGCAGAGGTGCACAATGACGAGACGAGTGACTTTGAGTAAGGTTCTAAGACAACTTGACTACTACATTGGCAGACACCGAGCGTCGGAGCATGTTCACATCGGGGTATTCCTGGGCACATTTGCCGTACACTGAACAACAAAAGGTACACCAGTACAAGGACGATGATACTACACAACGGCATCTCCGAGGGAAGCATAGCAGAGAACAACGAGCTTCTGTGGTGTCTTCAAGTTGTGTTGTAATAGCACTTATGATGAAGTACTGGCTGTGACGATAACGTCAAATATACACTCTCCTAGCAACTGTCAATTGTGTCAACCATCAAACAACGCGCATTGCATTGGAGCTTGAAAACAAGGACACTTGAGAAATCGTCCGCGCATCGCGTCCCACGTACATAAATATAGAGGCTCAGAATCGACTGTCGAGATAGCACCGCGCAACTCTGTTCAACTTGAAGCCTATATACACGACAGCGTACTTACGACCAGCAAATCATGGCCGAAGTCAACGAGGGCCTCGACGTCGTCGCACCGCCAGGCTACACCATAGGTACGAATGACATATGCTGCGCAACATCGGCTCTGACAACATCGATCTCAGGCGAAATCGAGATACCAAGTGAACCACTCGCAACCCTATCGTTCGACGGCATCGAGACGGATCCAATATTAATGAACGGGGCCCACTCATGCTCGATCCACGAAGCCCACTCAGCAGACCCATCCAACGAGGCCTGCGCATGCCCGCGTCGCGGAACTTACTACGTCCAGGACCCATTCCGGGATTCCGACTCGGACAGTGTAGAGGAAACGCCCACGATCGAGTTCTCGCAGCGCGAGGACGTCGCAGCTAGGCTCTTCGGACGCCATGCTCGCGTTTTCCGCGTCGCCTTCTCCGCACTTCTATACCTGATATCGTGCGTTGCGTATACGACGATGACCACCTTCATCGGTTGGAGTACCATGACGGTCGGGCTGGATAGGTCCTCCGCGTACGCCTTCGAGAATATCTCCTCCGCGGCGACAGTCGGCACCATGATCCTCGTGGCCATGTCATCCTGCGTCTGGACGATCGCAAGGCGACTCATGGAGGAGAGCCAGAGGCTGCAGGATCACGGAATCGATCCTTTTGGAAGAAAGGTGCCGAGGTGGTGGAGGGAGCCGCGGACCGGGACACTCCTTCCTGCGCCGCCTCAGCAAATCCAGCGTCGTGATTGGGCGCAATACCCCGCGCATCCAGTCTATATGGCGTTGGCATTCTTGCTGAGCGGCTTGTATGGTCCTGCATTGGGCCTGTCGCTGCTGTACGGAGGACGGAACGCGCCAGAGGGGATGCCGACTACGACGGACGCGCTGGCGTGGGGCGCATTCGGAATGGCATTCAGTCTCGCGCTGTTCATTATGATGGCCATGATGACGACGGCTTTGAGCATCCTTAGGCAGAAGATTCGGTACCGGGTGTAGGGAGATGTAGGAGGCAGTGGGAGTCTGCAGGTAGTTTGGTTGAATGTGCGCCTGGAGTGACAGAAAGCAGGGGCGGACTTACGTTTTGGAATACATGTTGTCAACATTTGCGTACTCAAAGGATCAGTGTTGGTGAAGCCCTCTGCGCGACTGGCCTCCAGGTCGTCGAACACGCCAGTGTTCGCCATATCTACTGTAAGCTTGAGACGCGCGTAAGCCAGCAGAAGCCTCCCAGTACCGGGCACAAGGAGACAAGAGTGAGATTTGGTAGAGTGGTCGATATGTTGTACGCTTGAATTGGCGGCGGCGAACTGCATGCTCGTGGCGTGACGGTATGTAAGTAGGGGGACCGGGGCCCCGAGGGATGGATCAATCGGGGTTGGGATCTGGCCGCCACAAGCGCGTCCAGAACGGCAGACCCGCTGCCAGTGCATGCAGATTCATGCAGCACACCGTACGCACATATCACGCGTGGCACGGACCCACTCACTCTGATCAATCGCTGCATTAGGTACTGTCTCACACAAACCAGAGTCCTCGTGCAGTGGGCACGATGTCTCCCGGGCCGAGTCGGTAGTACGGAGGTGTCACCAAGTGAGTACCTACCACTAATTGAATACCATAACTCCACAGCAAAGCCTTGTAATCACGGTGTAGGTGATCAGATTTCCAAGTGACGGCGCACGAGACAATAAGTGGTCGCGAGGGACACAGATGAGTACAAGCACTGACGCTGAGGCTCAGTCAAGGATGACAGCTTCGACTCGGGCGGTCACTGAGCGCTACGAGCTCATCAAAGTTATGTAACTGCGAACCCGACCATTTTCGGTGCGTCTTCTCTCCTCGTTGACGCAATCCTCCAGAAGGGTGACTTGGACTCTGTCTAGGAGACCCTCAGGTACAATGCGATATACAAAAGAGTAAGGATGGGGACTCGTGGCTGTCAACATCTCCCCTGGTAACTGTCGGTTAAACAACACAAAAAGCACTTACGTACGAAGAACAAGTGCGACGCAGACAAGAGTGCGGATGCATGGTACACAGCATTGATGCCGTGCATCCGTATATCAGAATCCAGCATGAGGCTGGAGATTCAGTACCGCGCCCTTTATCACTCAGTGAACACTACAGCTCTCCATACCTCCACTCGAAATCGCACCGCAAGCCATGCCCGGACCCATCAGTCTGTCGGAAGACCCGTTGCGTGGAGAACAGCCATCGCGCTCGGAGGGAGCATCGCAGCCGGAGGGGACGTCACACCAAGAGGGGACATCGCTCCCGGAACGCTCAGCGCGGCACCCACGTACAGAGCGAACGTCGCGTTCCGGGCGAGAGCGAGCACCACGCTCACACGGAGCATCGCGTCCCAAACGAGCGCCGCGCCCACAGCGGACCAGCTCAACCGCTCTGCTCGAAAGAGGTGCGTCCATTGCAACATGCCTTCCCTGTTGTCTCTGACCGAGAGAGCGATAGAGCTTGACGCCCTTGAAGGGCGCACTACCGACGAGCCAACGTCGCGCCTCGAGAAGATCGGCCTCCTCTTCTCCAGCTACTTCTTCACCTGCCTTTTCTTCGCCGGTGTCTGCGCCGTATACGCCGGCATTTCCACCTACGCGGCGTGGTACTTCCTTCAGACCAACGAACCCTACACCAGCAACTTCAACATCGTCTACGCCGGCCCGCCCGGCGCGGCGGTCCTCTCCTGGGCGTTCTCCACGACGATGTGGGTGTACCACAAGCTGGAGGCATTGTACGAGAAGAAGCACGGGATATACGAGCCCCCGAAGGAGATCCCGGAGTGGTGGACGTGGCAGCGCGAGACGTACGTTCCCCCGCCGCCGAAACTCGCTCGCCGCTATGCGGGCTACGCCACTGCGGCGGGCACGATCTCGGGGCTCCTCGTGGGCGGTCTGCTTGGACCTTTGCTGGGGGCGACGATGCGGCGGACGACGCTGACCAGCGCGATGAATGCGTCGGCGGAGTTGTGGTGCGGTGCTGTCGGTACAGGCATTGTCATTGGTGGTATACTATTTGCCCTGTCCGGTACGTATGGGATCTGGATGTGGTACGGGGGCAAGGAGGGTGAATGTTGAAGGGTTTTTCCGATTGTGAGTTTCTATCTGCCTGCTCCCGAGAGATGGCAAGAGATCTGAATGTCTCCAGACAGTTCTACTCACGATGGACATCATGGACTGTTTTGTATCGGGAAGAGTAGATTGACTACGGCGCATGTATAGAACTGGCGCGCCTCTATGACAGCTTATCGAAACTCTTGCGTTTTAACATGCACGTCAAGACGTATGCGGTCACATTCATCCTTGCAACATCGAACAACCTCTGACTCCAGTGATCCTTTCTCGCACGCTTTGGCTCCGACGAGGGTCCCCCGCTCCACGGTGTTGCGTCGCTCAGTCGAGCTGGCAAGTCGCGGGCCGCCAGAGCCTTCTGATTTTACGGACAACTTTGAGAATTAGATCGACAAGTCAGTGATACGGCCGCCGCGATGTCTTAGATCTATGGGATAATCAAGGCGAGGGGAACTTGTGACCGCTGAGTAGCCCAGAGCTGAACGTGAGCCTTAGCACGAGCTCTCGAGACGGCTTCAATAAGGCATCTCGAGACGTCCGATTTGAAACTGCCGAGTCACGCTAGGCGTCGTTGCGTTCGAAGTGTGAGTGGTTAAGTATCGCTGGTCACAATCCAAGTGCATGCCTCACTCAGGTTCTTGTAACGAGCAGACGGAGACGACCTCGCGCGGTGTCAAGCACAGTGAGGCTCGTATATGTCGAGTACAGCGAGCGTCATTGCGACTGATCCTCTCGGACATTGCAACTTCAAAAATCTGCCAAGGATACCAACGGGCATGCTCTGGCTGAAGATATCTGTTGCCAGACGACTGTCTGGTTCCAGACTATCCCCAGCGAGAGGGGCCTTTGGTCCCTATGCTTAGTTGGTTGTCTTTGACACCACACGGAAGTGATGAGGCTGCGATGTTCGATTCGTCTGTGCAGGCTGGTGAGATCAGGCATGCGCGATGCCGCCGGCGATGGTGATGTTTGGTATAAAGGCAGGATAGGCGTTGTTGCGTTGAACCATCGCACGAGGGTTGACAATCTTCGAACTTCTCGTCCACCCCTTCGAGGGAATCATGTATCCCCTCCATGGGCGCACACCGGCCTGAAAGTTCTCATGCAGCCTCCTGGTGCAGCTGTAGACCGCAATGAGTATACAACAATCAGTCCGTTTAAGATTAAGATGCTCACCTAGATTCGTTCCTACGCCAATCCTGGAACCCTGCACGTCTGCAACGATCTCCGACGTGTCCAGTTCACAGGGCTGCGCACCATCTGTCGTGCACAGGTCGTCAGCGCGTTGCACGGCCGTTCGTGGACCGTGTGCCGCTTTAAAGCGGCCGTCGTGCTGGCCCGCTTCGACGGCTCGACGGGTTCGGCGAGCATTGGAGTCCGGAGGCTCGGACAGTGCTGGTTAGGAGGAATAGTAACGACGCTGGGTGAGAGTCCGGAGGGCGGCAACAGCGTTGAGGTAAGCAAGTGTCGAATCGTCTCATCATGAGGGGGAGGGAGGGTTTGTTGAGATCGTCGGTGTGCATTGGCACCCTTTATATATCATGGACCCTCGCAGCCTGTGGCGGTGACCTTGCTTCGACGCTTTGACCATGCCACATTGCCCCTGTTCTGTGGCCTGGCGCCGCGCGTGGCTCCGGGTCTCATTCGCTTTGGCCAAGCACTTTGTTGAGGCGATTTGGGATGCTTCTAGCACTGTTTCGCTTAGTACTCTTTTTGTCTGCGTACCTTATTCCGTTGACAATAGGTCGGCTCCAATGGTCGTCCCCATCGAGCGAGGGATAAAGCGATGTGGCCACCTGGTTTGGCTACTATGAAGTGCGAGAAGTCGAACTCAACGCGTTGTAGGCATCAGCTTAGGCAACCGTCTCCTGCTACTGACACGATTCCGAATGGGACAACTGGTAACCGAAGCAGGAAGTGAAAACGGAGCCTACCTATTGGTGTCTTCGACTGCTTCAAATAGTCAGTCGATGAACTGGCCCATAGCAACGTAAGCACAGATCGCCGTCTCGCAGAAGAACAATAGCTGTGCATGTGCCACCACCAGTATGCAGTGATATCAACGATTGCCGTTTGAAGAAGGCAACATCTGGCAGCACATCTGCATTACAACGTCAACAACGATACATACATACCATATTCATCGCCTACTACATCGGAAACTTTTCGACACAGGGATGCCGCACATATGTTCCCACCCTCAGATATAGATTGGCAGTGTCGGGTTCAAGCCTATCCAGTCTATGCCCTCCACGAAGTCCTTCTGGTCAATCAAGAAGTCCTAAAACGATTTCAGTGTCTTGAAACACGCAATGCTCCGGATTCTGAATTTAAGACTCACAATGGGACATTCCACCAGGGCACCCCTCACTCGAGAGAGACGGTCCTTCGCATGTTCGAGTGAAATCTCTGAGACGACGTGTCCGGGCATGACCTTCGGCACATATTGCTTCGGTCGTAGTCAGCACTTCTAGGCCATACACAAATTTGTGGATGGACGTACAGCATATTCATCCCAGTTCTTAACCCAATTCGTTGGTACAGTACGGAAAATCTCTGCGAAGATCGCGCGGTTCCGCCTTGCAGTCTCGTTCCACAGGCTCATGGTGAGATCCGCGAGAGGATCCGCGACAATCTTGTCTTCGCCCTCGTCGGTCTCGTCGTCGTTCGGGTGGGGCGCAGGGCGCATGAACGAAGTGACTTGCTCTTTGCCTGCGCAGTACTGTGGCGGCATGAGGCCGAGGTGCTCTGTCCGGTGATGTATGAAAGAAGCGAAGGAGCATTTTGAGGCTTAGACATACCTCTGTAGAGCTTCCTACGGAAGGTGGCGGCGAAGCGTGCCGCCATGTACGGTTTACCGTCCATGGTGGTTTCAATCATGTCCTCGTCTTCAATCACTAAGGCGATCTCGGAATCGCCATTGCCCTGGACAAGACCGTCAGTGTGCATTCCGCTCCAAGCGACATGTCCTTACCTTCATACTCCGATCATTGATATTCGCAGAACCCATCTAGTCGGTACCCATCAGCTAGTCCCTTATCAGAGTTGTCGACAGCACATACGACGACTCTCCGGTCATCCACGATCATGACCTTCGAATGAATGTACACGAGGTCAGAGACATACGCAGCCTTCTCTTCCTCAGGCGTGCCTAACCATCCCTCCTCGTTCAGGTTCGTCCGGTCCTCCATGACATGCTGGACGACGTTGTCGGAGATATCTCCACCTTCTCGGAGGCTGACCGCAGCGCGGTGCCACTGGTCGACGATCTCTTGTGCCTCCTCGTACGTCTGTGGTAGCGCGTACGTCTCGGTCTTGAGCTCGGGTTGCTGCCCGGACGCACTCGGCTGGTCGACGATCTTACCCGTTGGGAGGACGACAGTAGTTTCTTTAGGTGCGTTGGCCTCCTCGTCCCTTCCAACCCAGAGACGGGCGAGAGCCGTCATGGCCTGGTGGAACTTGATGCCGCTACGTTCTTCGATGACTTTTATGAAGGATTCTACGAGCCAGTTGAGTAAGGCGATAGGATCCAGATAGATAGACTCCTACCGTACGGAGCGTTGATGCGATCGTAGGTTCGTAGGTGATAGAAACGAATGTAATCCATTCTAGCATACCGTGTGAGAAGGTTCAGACTGGTGGAACATAAACAACTCACGGCTCATATCCTGCCTTGCTGATCTCCTCATAGATGCTATGACCTCCACGATTCATGGTACGGTATTGAGCGGCCATGATTGTCCTGATTGACGTCTCGTCCTTAACTGGACAAGCAAATCAGAATGGACTGAGGCAGAGGATGCACGACGGGCGTTACCTGGTCCTGCAAAGCCAGGAACTTCGGGAATCACTATGACCACCTATCGCCAGGACAGTCATGAGAAATCTAGATCGGCATGATGGATAACACGATGCGCGCTGACCTTGAACTTCTGGTTGTTACGAGCTGCTAGAAGGATTCGGTCGACGAGAGCTGCTGCGATTTGATTTTTCACGGGATCGTCTTTCTGCTGTGTACTCGAAATGCTACGAGACCAAAGTTCAGAGAAACGAACGAAAGGTCATAATATAGACACTCACAAGAATTGGTTCTCTACATTGTGAGGATATTAAGGCGAATCTAAACATCACGCAACTAAGCCACTTACCAATATATATGAAATGGTTCGCCTCCATGATCAATTGACAATCTGAAAGGACTTTGTCAATGTGGCGCATTCCCGATGGCGAGGACACTCTTACAAGCGTTCTGGACGCTGTGCTCTGTCAGCACGCCGTTGCTCCAGTCGCTCACGCTGCGCACTGCCTGTACGCGGCACGTCCCGTTCGGCGGTCGCGGATACAACTCCGGATCGTCGAGGTCGTCGAACTGCCGCGCAGTGAGGTGTTCACCATGGAATCGTTGACGGAAATGCCGGCCTATCTGGTGCCACTTTTCGCGGTAAGGATGGACTATGGGATGTTCAAGATTAGGTGATGGGATGAGGGACAGGACACGTCGGAAACTTACGCACGACAGCTTCGTCGGGAGCTGCTTCGACATCATGCGGGAGTGCGAGCCAATCGTAATGTCTAACATCACGATGCGTGAGCTTCTGACGATTGTAGTGATGCAGAATGTCTTCCACCCACGTATCATGACTGTACTGTGAGACTCATTAGCCCTTGATCACAACCTGCCTTGCAAGGAGGATACACACCTTCCTTCGCTTGATTTCATTCCAGCGCTCCATGAAGTGCTGTACCAAATCAAGTACCGACGGCCCGCAGATCGTCAAATGGACCTTTATGCGATGTGTTGAGTATCAGGTACCACTTGGAGAGAGCTACATAGCCACATACATCGTGCCACGGCATCCGCGCAGACTCGAGCACGCTCAGGCCATTGCTCACATAGTTCTGAACGTCCTTGAAGTCCATGATACGCGCGTTGTTGTAGTCCTGCCCCGGGAAAAGCGTGCGCGTCAGGTCTGTAGGGTGCACATCCCCGAGCGGGTGCATGTGCGTGTCCCAGCGCCCGAAGCTGAGATCGAGCCCGCCAACGCCTGCGCGGTGGTTGTCTACTATCACGAGCTGTGTGGATGGTAAGGAAAGGACTTCGTAGAGTATGGAAGGAGACAGACCTTTTCGTGGTGCGACCAGAACTCGACGTCGTCTGGGAAACATCAGTACAGGCGATAGAAATGACTGTATGTGTTTCACACCTTTACTCCCGATGTGATCGGGGTGACGCATGCACGCAATGTTGGGGTGCA